CACATTAGGTAACATTAAGTAACTGTCCGTAGTACTATTAATGATATTAAATGTATACTTTGTGATTCCTGATGTAATCTTATTCTTTAATGAATTACACAGATGTTTAACAAATACTGAAACACATTGGTAACTTTGGAAAATGACCTCTTGCCCTTTTTCATCCACCCATTAAGTAGTAAAAATATTTGTTTACATTATTACATATGTATGTATAATGAGCAAAACATGATTTTTTTGGATGTAAGATTTCTACAGAGATTTTCATAAATCACCTCATTATAAATGATAAAAAGATTCAAAATTTAATGCACAATGTTTTGTTGTAAAGGTACTTTCTGAAATTATGATTAATAGTATGTAATGTAGCATACCAGTCTGATGTAATACATTTGTAGTACCTATATATATACTTGAGTACACATATACACAAGCACGTTTGTACAATACGTAATTGGCATGTGTGTACGTGGTCGTACGTATGATGCGCGCGCGCGCACTCATGTTCAATAGCATTAATACGTATGCATGATGGTGTGTGTGTGTGTGTGTGCTCTGAGTAGATATACATACGTGTGCGCACAGGGGCAAACGGGCGTGTGTGCGTGCTCAAATGCATATATGTACGCATATTCAAATTATACAAATTTACTTACATTATATCTCAATTAACTATGAAGGAACAATACTAAACGTGAAAATCAAATGGTCCGAAATTTTTCACGACTTTGATGCACGACAGTTTTTCCAATAATTCTCTTTCAAATCTAAACGTAGAATAAGTAATAGACAAGAAAAGTCTCGGAATCATCATGAAAAATGTGATGTTCCACTGACTCTTTAATTAAAGTCAAAACTGAATGTTGATCGTACAAACCGTGCCACATGCTCAGATTTGCTCTCGTTCAGAATCAATGTGCAATCGTCAAGCATTCACACTTAAACGTCACATTGTATCCTTCTGATATAGTTCTTTGGGAAAGGTTACAGCATGAAAAGTAAAAATTTTGAAAAGGCAAGATATGCAATATGTTGGATGCGATTAGCCAAATATAGAGCGAGACGTTGGCCGGGCCAACACGTTCACGCACGCAGATATGGTGACAACCACTTGGACAGTACACTTATGGGTATCGTATATCGTTACCGAAATCACCATTCATCCCGAAACAATCCCGGATTCCATGTGCCTTTATCAATAGGTGTTCTCGGCAGCTTCGTTTACTGGCTCGTTCTTCGGGTGTAAGTACCGTGAGCGCACACGGTTGTGCGCAAAAAACGCAACCTTATTCCTCGTTCTCAAGCTATGAATAGTTAGCCATAAGCATCTGCCCTCAATCCTCTACATCATTTGGATCAATGTGATTCGCGCCGTTTTAGAATTTTATAAAATTCTTACCGAGAAGATGAATCAACTCAACACAATTTCTCAAGGAAACTACAAAATGGCCGACACAGAAAGGCACATGCCGTAGCTCAGTGCATTGTGGGTCGGAGGTATGTAGCCCGACACTAGCGTAATCTAACGGTCAGATCGTCACGATTCAAGCCCGCTAAATTTGAAAACCTATGAACATCTGAAATTTATCACTCATTTTATCAAGCATAGTAAAACGAAATATAGTATACATCAGTATACATTATGCTATAGTTGACCTCATTGAACAATTCTGATAACCTTACTTATTATTGACGATCATTGACTAAGTATAAAAATATCGAACTAATCCGAATACCAAATGTATGCATATTTTACACATGCGTATGATGGAAAAGTATGTCTAAATAACGCGTGCATTTGTGTAGAAATACACACACACACGAAGAAAATTGAATCAATGAAATTTTACGTTTACGTATATCTTATAATTTTTACATTATTTCATAAAATAGATGACCGCATTGAAACTAGTAACACTGTACATGTAGAAATTGTTAATGTAAATTCTATGTGAACATAGATTAAATATAATGTTTCTTTTCAATATAGAAATACTGACCAACAAATATAACAAACTATCATTAACAATGTATCTTTATATATAAAAATCTTATTAATATACAAGTCTTGCTAAAATCGAATTCAACAAAACATCTTCTTTTACGTGATATCTTTTTATTATAATCACTATTTTAAAAAGGTGGGATAATAGATTATAAGTCGCAAAACTGGTGAATTACCATTTATTTATTTAGAACAGCCACATTTTATTGAAAACAATGGATCTTACGTTGTCAATACTGTTTTAAAAAGGAAAAAACTGGCAATTCTCCCTACAAAATTCGTTACAATAAAAGTTGATCATTTCAATAAATAATACAATCAATGCGGAATCAAAGGCACAAAACTTGGAAATGAGAATATAAAATCAGGTCTGTTACCCTTAGTGTATAAAGAAAACAAAGCATTCATCATTACACACAGTAAGCCAATCTGTAGCCTAAAACAATTTTTTTGGATCTCTCTCTGAATACATCTATAGCGCCGAGATACATACTACCTAATTCCAAAAAGAAGAGCCATCCGTTGCTATTTGTATCTATCCCTTGTATATGTATTTTCTCAAATTATTAGTTAGTTATCGCTACTACTTTAAGTGTGACGAGTTTAGTGGATTATCTAACATAAGGCTGTAAAACAATGCTTCCTACAAGCTTACAAATCTCTGATTAGAATATTGTGCCTATATCGTTACTGTTATATATTTTTTATTGAAATATATGTGTGTATATAATAGGATATCTCACGAAATATCAACAAGTATTAGTGACTGATACAGATAATTTAAGATGATAAGGTGTTGATGAAGGTGGTGTGTTCTTAGATAGTGGCATGGGTGTTTGCTGGTTAAAAACCATGGACTTTTAGTTGGTCAGATTTCGCCAGACCTGACTTTGTTAGCCACTGGCATATATTTTCTCGCTGGTCCCCCTGCAGCTGCAACACCTCCCCGTACTCCGGGTGCTCGATTACTGTCCCATTGCAGGCGAACTCCTACAAAGAGGAATTTCATTTTCTATTTTTTATCAAAACCTTCCACAGACTTCTTTGCTTTAATCACTTATTAATGAAACAGATGTAAAGAAAGTTATTATATTAAAAACTTTAATTTAGTGACGAGTTTTTTAAATTATGAATTTTTCTTTTTTTATTAACAATTATCATATTTTATGTAAATCATAAGTACATTTTAAGTCATTTTTATGTACTTGTACATACATTATTAAGTATTGTGTCAATTAATTAAAATAATACATACACAAAAAAAACAACTAACTACTATTAATAAAATGTTTAAAATTGCCCGAACAAAACATACATGAAAATATGTTTAATTACTTGTAACTTAGATTAAGCATAAACATTTTAAATACAAAATAATTAATAAATTTTATGAATAATCGTTTACTACATATTATGTGGTAAATGTGTATAAATTGTAAGGTAATATTTGCATATGCTGTAATATGATAAATACCTCACTGTTTCATATATTAATAATAAGAATAAAATAAATCGATATAAAACAAACTTTCTGTATAATCCACATAAAGTAAAATACGATTTTCTTAAAGTTTTGTGAAATTGCATCTTCACATTGGACAGTTGTTTGCATCGATTCTATTTTTAGCACAGTCTGTCACTGACAAAAGGTTTACTCAACGAACACGTATCGCGATATTTTCGATCTTGTAGTTACCTTTTTACATGCTCTCACTATTTTCTTCAAGTCATATTCAGACGAGAGTCCTTGCACCGTTGTTAAGGTCTTACGACCATTTCGTTGCTGGATCCTTATATGCACGAGACCGTCTTGGACATCATCATCTGAACCCTTGATTGCATCTGCAAAGGGGTCTGAAAAAAGGAGAAAACAAATCGTTTCACATTACAAATTATTCAATTTTCGAGCGAAATGATAAAATTCGTAAAATAAACGGTTGAATTCGAGAAGAAAACGGGAAAATAGGCGTGAAAAATTAATTGATTGCGTACTATGATGCAAGCAACAGCAAAAGACGCCATCGCCATTTTGACAAAATTATCTTCTGGAATATGATCGGTATAAAATAGAAAATATAACACTTACCGAATGTGTTGAGATTCTGGATGGACATACGACAAACAAAATATATCCCGGGGAGATATAGAATTGCAAAGTGCAAGTGCAGTCGAGAAAAATTACGGATGACGTAGGATATCAGAAGCACACGCAAGAATACTGCTAAACCCAAAAAACCTTGTACAGAGGTCAAACTCAACCGGAAGTAAAAGTTGCATTTGTCATGAACAGTGGGTGGGGTTGCGCATGCGTACTTTAACTGTACAAGCTTCGTTTACATGAAATCAGTGTCTTATTATTTAATTGGCCTGAACAAAGAGTATAGTTTACAACAAAAGTACGTTTATTGTAAAATTTTGAACCTAAAGATTTAATAATTTCTTATGATTAATATTAATATAAATAGCAGCATGGAGAAATAAAGATATCGACTGAAAATTGTTTCATACTATTGGAACTCTTTAGTTTTCATGTAAGTATGACCAGAAATTTTTAGGCAGATTTGAATAAAGCTGCGTTTCTCATAAGATGTATCTCAGTTGTGTCTAATAAATTGTTTTTTCATATTGAAAACAACAAACATAAATTAATAAAAGCATTTAAAAAATAAAAATAAAATTCAAAATAAAATTTTAATTCACTTTATTTTTTTATTTAATAAAAATCTATTTTTTATTCACTTGTAAACACGAATAAATATACGTACAGCGCCTTGCAGCGGTAGATTTTAGAGATATATGGACATGAATTTTTAGTCCTTGCTCGACAGTCTTCCTCCTTCCTCTACCATATGATATGAAATATTTCATGAAATGATTGGAAATGATCGTCTCGCTGGATTTGGTGACACGATATTTAATTTTGTCGCATATAAACGATACATTTCTTATTTTACGTAAAGTAAAACTTAAAATAAATATCAATTAATTGATACTTGTCGAGCCAGATTGCTTCTGTTGTTCGTTGTTATCTATAAAAAAATCGAAAATAATGAAACATTCATTAAGAAACTGAAAGCAGCAAGTGAAGTATGGTGGATCTTTAATTCAAATAACACATATGTATAAGACTTGACTTGAACTGACTCTTGGTGACAAAGATTATGGCTAGTCCGCGGACACGGAGAGTTCTAAGTGAACTGAAACCTAAAGATGAGAATAATGTAATATATTTGTTTAATTGTTTTAACTTTCTAACCATATGTTTATCTTACCTTATCTCATCTTCTTACAGAGGTGTTTTGAATGTGGTATACATAATCCTCAATGGGTTTCTGTTACATATGGTATCTGGATTTGTTTGGAATGTTCAGGCAAGCATAGAGGACTTGGTGTGCATTTGTCATTTGTTCGTTCCATTTCGATGGATAAATGGAAAGACTTAGAATTGGAAAAAATGAAAGTTGGCGGGAATAAAAATGCTCGTGAATTCTTTGAGTCACAATCAGATTGGGATGACAGTATGTCCATAACACAGAAATATAACACAAGAGCAGCAGCATTATACAGAGACAAGGTATATTTACTTACACTTATGAATATACTTTATGAAGTTTGTTCAAGTGAATGTATGTAGAATGAAATTTTATATAAAGAATTATAAATACAATTATTAGATTGCAACATTAGCTCATGGGGAAACTTGGAGTCCAACTACCTCTACAGCAAAAGACTTTCAATCTACAACATATAGTGGAAATCAACAAGATTATTCATCTTATCAAGGTGATATGTCGAGTTCTTATCAAAATTTTTATTCAAGCAACTGCAAGGCCCAAACTGAAGCTTTCTTTGCAAAGAAGCAAAATGAAAATGCTAATCGTCCTGAGTATGTACTGTTCTATAAATAAGTAATATACAATTTTAATGCAGTTTTACAGATTTTAATTAATTGCAATTATAATTACTACCACAATACAATTTTGTCAAAGCAGTAACAAATACACTCATGAATGGTTTTACAGTAATGTTCCACCTAGTCAAGGTGGTAAGTATGGAGGGTTTGGTTATCAGATGGATCCACCACCTAAAAGTACGTCACAAGAATTTTTTGACACTGCCGTGTCCTCTTTAGCAAGTGTAAGGCATAGAAAACACATAGATTTGTAAACTACTTGTGTGTACATATGATTAAAATACAAGGATAGTTTATAGTTGACATCTATAATTTTAGGGATGGTCAATATTCTCTTCATCTGCCTCAAAAATAGCAAGCAAAGCTACAGAAAATGCTATTAAAATTGGAGAAATGGCAACACAGAAGGTATACTAACAAAATATTAATAACAGCAGTAGTAAGATGTATGTACTGATTTTGAACAAATTCTACAATTATTATTTCATAATGTATATAGTTAGAATTAGTATGTGCATGTATCATAAATTTGTTGTATTTTAATTATTTACATTTGCATAGCAGTGATCTTATGTTTTGTAGATATACCTATTATATAATATCATTTTTCAGTTATTTTTTCATTTTTTGGTTTCTTATTTTGTTTTCATAAGGTTCGTGATGGTACATTATTGGAAGACGTTGGAGCTCAAGTTAATAATTTAGCTGCCAAGGTAGTTAGTTAAAACATATAATGACTAAATTTTTTCTATGTTGTAGTTTCCCTTAAAATTGATAGCTTTATTGGTGATATTTTAATTAAATACTTATTTCACAGGTCGGAGATTTAGGAAGAAGAGGATGGGGCGACATTGGAGGAACAAATTCAATGGAACAAAATCAGTATAACTCAAAAGAGAATTACCAGAGTTCTTCTACAACATATCATAATAGTGAAGTTCAATCTTATTCTACGGAAAAAACGTCTTTAATGAAAACATCGCTATCAAAGTGAGCTAACAATTGAACAATTAAAAAATTATTCAAATTAAAAAAGTTATTTAAAAATTAGCCAAATTCACTAAACTACTTTTCAATTTTAGAACTAATATACCAACCACAAATTCTTCGAAGTGTGAATGGGATTGGGATAATGACGCAAAGCAAGATAATGACAAAGTAACCGATACTAAATCGACCATGAGAAAGTCAAAAGACAAGGTTAAAGAAGAAGCTTTAATTAACTTCGGTACTGATAACACTGCACCAAATTGGGATTCGAAACTGGAAGATGATGCATGGGAAATATTAAAAAATTAATTGTCATTAAGAAATTAGGCAATTTTCAATGAAGTTCAAGATTCACGGATGACTTTACCATCTTATAGATTTTGAATTCATATAAAGTAATATAACACCAATCATAAAAATGAAATTATTTTATTCCACACTCTACCTTCTTGTCACAAAGAATGTATGTAGATATATTCTTCAAGAAAATAAATGTTTATTTACGAGCGACATGTAGGTGTGTATGGTATGCTTCAGTAAGCATACGTAAATATTGTTAACCGATTCAAATTTTACAGTTAATGTGTATTAAAGTGAAAGGGTTTGCCTCCATTACTTTATTTACCTTTGCATTTATTATGCATTCAAACTGTTATTAAACTTCATTACTCATTTTTATACAATTAAAATAATTTGTATATTAAGAATGTGGTAGGTATACTGTATAGTATTATACACTGTTAATACAGAAAAATATAAAAATACTTTACTTTGTAATATGCACCATAGAATAGAAGTGAATTTTCTGTAATTATTACATTTATTGATTAAAATTGTTCAGAAGAGTAATTACATTTTAATAGCATATATTGATACCTTCTGGACTAACACAATATGCATTCATCATTATTTCGAATCTATTAATAAGTGAACTATCAGTCAATTTTATGGATCTGTAAGTTTATGATTATGAGAAGTAAAAACATGAAAATGTACCAACTAGTCTAAGAGAATTTGTTGTGAAAAAGAGTGAAATTAAACATACTATGTACAATAATCCTGCATATGACACACAAAGGTGTTAATACAATTTGAAGTTGGTACGTATTTCTTAGTTACACATACATCACATATAAAAATGTGTGCCTTGTAAAATAATTTAGGTCAATTCTATTATGAAAAATTCATAACTGTTTTTATTATGTCTAGTTTTTTTTTATGTTAATGAATGCATCAAGAACTTATATATAGTGTTCCTAAAATTTGACCAAACTTTACTGAGATATTCTACTTATTTACAATTTTTATGCGAGTTCAACAATTCATTTGAATGTTAAAATATATTCACTGATTTCCAATTTTCATCTGTAACTCAAAACGTTGTAATCTACAGTCTTATCTTTAACATCTTTTTATAACATGATTAGTAAAATACAATTATAAAGTATGGCTTAATTTTTATTACAATACGTATAATTACTTTTATTACAATAAAAAACTACTAAACAGTTTTTATGTATACAAATATGCAAACTAAAGCTATAATACTATAAGGATTGTGTATTCTTTCCAGGGTATACTTTCTTAATATTCCTTCTCTTGTAAACTTTTCCTAGATATTCCCAAATATCTTTTTGGCAGTATGGCCATACTTTATTTTCTATTTTTATCAAAGTCGAACAAAGTAGATTCATGTCTTTTTTTGGAAGGTCAAAATATGATGTTTGCTCAAAACATGAGCGATAAAGGAATTCATAGATTGCTCTAGAGAAAAATAAATAACATTATTAATACATTAGCCTGCACAATTTGTACCCCAAATAAATAATATACCATGTACCTGAAATCATGACCATCTGCTTCATAAGGTGGTGGATGATCTTCAAACAAGTGTATAAATAATAGTACTTCTGGTAGAATACTATCTCCAAGTTTATATAAACCACAACTTGACCATTTGTTTAACAATTCATTTTCGTATAAGCTTTTTGCCATCTTTGAATATTCAAATATTTTTAATTTAATATCTTCAGGAGATAGATGTGGTAACATGTTTGATATAGCTGCAATATTTTCAGACCCATATTTTTTAAGAGCTTCTAAAAGTATGCTTTTATCCTGATTACTCCAATCTATAGCTTGTTCAGATACTTCACTATCTTCTACTTGACTTTTATTAATTTCTTGCTGTTTATTTTTTCGTAAACTATTCTTTTTTTTAACATCCATGTTCACTTTTCAATAACATAGAAAAATTCTATCATTCTATTTTATTCTCTTCCGTAATTTTTAGACAGATTATTCGAAAATATGTACGATGAGTTTTAAATTCTAAATATATATTTCTTTTTTTTAAACAGCGAAATGAAAGTATAATTACACAACACTGAAGATTGAGAGTATTATTGTATAATGATATATTTATTTTTGATAAAATATGTAAGTTTAATACTTTTCAACTATTGAATATCGTATTCAAGAGTGTTTAAGAGGAACAAAGTGAGAAATAACTCCCGCTTCCTTCGTTCAGTAATATTAACAATCTGTTGCGGTGAAGTACTTGCGAGAATCTGTGTGACACAGTTATGTCCTCTGGTGTTGAATTCACAAGACCGTCGTTACAGTTCTATATGTATGTTCAGTGACTACAAATATAATCTGTAGGCACTGATCATCACTGATACTGAGATGGTTCTATATGTGTCAATATTGGTCAATATTGCGCACTAAAAAGCTGATTTAAATACGTAAATTTTACTCTAAATGCCATTAAGTTTTAATTTCATATTTATAACAAAACATATTACTTAATATAACAGAAGAATGTATTTATTTAATAAAAAACTATACAATTTCATTACCAAACATTTCAATGAAATAGACAAATATTTTATTTGAAAAAAACCGAAGGTTATATACACGATTATTATAGTGAACTCATTATTTCTTAACCTTGCTGCATTTTTTTCTAAATCCGAAAGAAATTAATCTAAATATATGTATTTATAAATATTTTTTATGTCGTTCAACCATTGCATACAGCGTTTCAGTAACAGTTGTTCTTTGGCATTATTTCTTAAAGATAAAAAAATGTATAATTCAATATATATTTAGGTTTTAAAAATGTAACGATCTGAAAATGTGTGTACACGTAAAAGAACTATGTATCGGACAATAAATGTATAAGTTGTACTTTTTAATACAATTGTTTTATTTACAATGATCAATCATGTTATTACTGTATAAGTAGATTCAATGTACATCTTTTAATTATATGAATAGGCTGACTTACCTAATTTACTTTGAAGGTTTTGCTGATTTAATTACTTCTATATTTCATTTTAAATTTTAAGTTTTGGTAATATTAATTAAGTGAAGTCAGCCTTTTAATTATTAGTCAAGCTATGAATGTATATGATGTTGTAAAATTAGAGGATCCATAACATACATAATGTACTTAAATAGTATATACATTTAACTGAGTAACTAATGTATGTTAAAGTAAAGGATATCTCTTTTCCAACAAACATATAAATATTTCCAATTTTTATTGGAAGTATAAACATTATATTATACATATTTCACATTAGAGGAAATAACATAGTAACAATATTTGTCACATATCACCGTTTTACAGAAATTCTATGTGTCAACCTTTAAGGCAATCAAAGTTTTCGTGGCCGTCCCCGTTTTCTTAATGTTGTTATCTTGCTCGTCACTGATCTCGTAGTGTGTAACTTTTTTTGAATATTTGCTATGGTCTTTGTGCTTTTTTGCATACTTCTATGCTTTTTCAAATGTTGCACAAAGAGCAACCTAGATCTTATTAGCTTTTGGCATATCTGACATCTACGCACCTGTACATCTACATGTTCTGTAAAATTATAAAATTGAAATAATATGTACAAATGGCGTTAATGAAGGTACACTTAACCACAGAAAAATGTAAACAAAATCATTTTTATGAATATTTACCAGTTTTCTTTGTTCCATGTTGCAAACAATGCGCTCTTAGCAAAGCAGCACTTGGAAACCATCGACCGCAATCGGAGCAACTTAATTTTTTTACTTCCCAGGTACAATTCGGTCGTTGACTTCTTTTCCTTTTAACTTTTTTAATCATAGTTAACTGTTTTTTCGATTCAACAGGTTCTTTTTTCTCTTCAGCCTCCATGGATGACCGTTCGACCGATGATTTACTAAATCTACGTTTCTTCCTTTGAGAGTAGTGGTCTGATCGCACGTGACGAGCCAACGCTACAACCACATCAAATTTCTGTTGGCATATTTTACAAGCATACTGTTTCTTAACTGCGTTCTCAGTTGTTCTATTCGTATGTTTTATTTTCTGTTCGTTAAACCGAATTGTATTTGAGGGCGACTTCGAACAAACTCGTAAATGAGTTTCTAAAGCTCTTTGTTGCCGGAAGTTTCTCGAGCAGTGTTGGCATTGCAGTAAAACTTTTTTCGAATTTGACTGCGCCACTTCGTCATCGGAATCTCGTACCATGATAATTTCATTCTCTTTGTCGCTAGAATATTTATCTTTACTATCATCTATGGTTATTTCAACGACATCCCTTTTTGATTTACTTTCTTCCTCGTCAACATCGATTTCAATAACTTCGACCTTTTTACGTTTGATCTTTTTTATTCGTTTCGATTCATTGCTCCTTTGATGATACTTTTTGCGTTTCCCTCTTTTCTTAACAGCAATGTCTTCTTCGCTTAGAACAGACGCCGGTTGTATGATTATTTCCGAATCTTCACGATTTACAGAAATTAGTTGTTGCTTACGAGATCTTTTAGTTTTATATTGTGTCTGTGTTGATTCAGGCGATACGCATTCCATAGAACCATTTGAAAGATCTAAGTTCGTATTGCTTGATATTCCGTCCATCGTCGCATTTGTAAATGTTTCTAAGAATTCTTTCTGACTGTCTATGGAATTTAACTTTCTCTCTGTTAAAGTATTCGAAATGTGATTACAATTAGAATTGTGGTGTACCGAATGATCGTACTCTATTTTTTTAATATTTCCAAAATTATTTTGGTCTTTATCAACTCTTTTATTAGGTTGCTTTCTGGATGATTTTGATTCAGCAGTTTTAAGATTTTGAAGGGTCGTCTGAATCTCGTCAAATGTTAATTCAGAATCAGATTGATCGCCCTCAAAGAGAATATACTGTACAGTTGACTGTTCTATAATCTCATTATCACTTTCATAATCTTCTTCACAATCATCAGAATTATCTATTGAATTAAAATAATTTAATTTCAAAATAAAATAACAAAACAGAATGTATAATTTTTCAAATGTATTTTAATACATACCAACATTTACAGAACAATCGTCCATCATTAAATATGTTACATCTGATTGTTTCTCATCAGTTGCATATATAATGTTAGGAACTTGTTTCATGTCTAGATTCAAATCAGAATCTTCTATCAAAGTTGAATTTTCCTCCCATGCATTATCCTTCCTTCGTACCTTCTGACTTTGACTAGACACAATCTTATCTTCATTATGCAGTGTTATATCATTTGTCAAATCATTTTTGGAGAAGAACATTGGTGGCTGTGTTGTTAATAACTGCTTTTTTATTTGAGTTGGTTTCCGTACAGTTCTAACAGCACCTTCGCCTATTAATCTTTCGACATCTGCTCTGTAAATACAAGAATTTCGTCATTAAATGTTCATGACATTCTTTTACAGCTGTAAATAAGAAAATGTGTAATGTACACACTTCATAAGAAACTGAAAACTTGTTGGAGGTTCACCAGACTCATCGTACATTGCTACAGCAAAAATTTCCTCTGAATCTTCTACTGCATATAGCGCTAATTGCTGACCAGTAGCAGTGACAAAAGTAGCTATTGTTTCTTCGTCCTCGTATTGATCATCACTTGCTGCTCTGTTGCAATCAATTTCAGACTCACTTTCTTCTAGTTCTAGTAACTGTAGAATTATATAAATACATGATACATTACATGTAACAACACATAAAATACTTTCTTTTAATTTCTTCTATGTATAACAGCTGAAGCAAAACATAAGATATCAATATCATAGAACAAAAAGTATTGAATATTCTTTATGTATTAAATTTATTTTAATTCAATGCTATATTTTTTGTAATGAAATTTTAAACGTTAGTTAATATTTACCAATGAATTATGTTTATCGGTACCACTTTGAAACCATTTCTGTTTGGCTATATTATTTGGTGATAATGATATAGAATCATCAACATATTCAGTATGCATTGTTGTATTTATACTTTCGTCAAAATATTCAGATGTTTCTTTAGATTTACACACAGCTTCTTCTGGGATCTGTTCATTTATATCCATATTTTCATCTACAACTATTTCTTCGCCAACGACCTATATAAATTATTTTCAATTAACATAAAAATGAATACAATTTATTTAAAAATATGTAATTGCAAAAAAACTTTAGAAAGTTTTTCAGACATATGTACGTTGAAGTATTCAATATTGTGTTACCAATGATTCTTCTATATGTTCATATTTGGGCAAAACCATAAACTCTGTTGAGCTTTCGTCTGTTGTACATGGTGCCTGTATGATTTCTTCAGAAACCATTTTCTTATAACCATTATCATTATTCATGGATAACATATTTTGTACTGTATTTTTTGTCAACTGATATCACACCTTGAATGCATACATTGACAAAATGAAGTCCCTGAAATAGAGAATAAAACAAAATATATATTCGAAAATATATTAGTGTTAACAGGTTAATGATTAAACACTATTGAGGTCACTTCATACACTAAAATGCAGTGCTAAAATATCGACAAATATTTGCTAATGGTTATATTCGTTGCTCTAGTTAAAATTCATACAGCAGAAACTTTACAGTGGAACTTAATTAAATGCATTTTTCTTATGTTCAATGAAAATCAATATGTACTATGAATACTCATATTTATAAATGTATTCACTGAGAAAAACACACAACACCTTTTAACAACTATAAAGTTCCGTAACATCATAACTGAAATAGTGCAATTAATAATGGTATTCGCAGAACATGTATATGTGCTGTGTTTTTCGAAGTTCCTTTTACAATTACTGAATATTGTATATTCACATATCAAAATATAGAACAGTGTATAAAACCATCGAGTTTAACACAAGCTTCCGTTTCCAAATTTACGTATATAATTAATATTAGATGCACACATTATTTATGCCCTATACACATGATATATGTACTTGGAAACATAACCCTAGGCATTTATGCGTTACGCACGTTTACGCATTGGATAGGTTCATCTTGAAGTTGGCGTAGGTTGTATGTGAATATTCTTATCAACGATTTGTATATAACTCGTTACAATGGATACATGGTTATGTCAGTTATGTTCTTGTAATTAAATACATAAGTAGGTAGTAGACGAAATACCTAAAAACAGAAGTTTAAGTAGACATGCAACTCGCTAAGTCAGACGTTCTGCAATACTGGACGCTTACGCGATAGCAGCTCCGTCCTTAAGCTGTTAATGAACCAATGTCGTACTTATTGTTAGTAGGGAATACAATGGGATACATTTGGATATATTTTTGAGCTTGGTGCCTTGGTGCATTCAACGACAACGTTACACGATGATTAACAGACGAACTGAGACGCACTGGGAGTCCCATCCCAGTCTGAGACCTGAGAGGAGTTTCTTCTCATCGCTACTCTTATGCGTTGCCATTCAGCTTGCATCAGCTTGTGTGCAAAAACTACTTTTACAAGTTCTTTACATGCAAAAATATATATTGTTGCAATCATCTCCAGATGTATAAGAAATATATATAAAAGTATCGGGGTCTATCAGTAAAAAATCTAAAACGAATATATATAGCTATAATTCTTTAAAGTTTTTCTTTACCAAAAATCGTTCATTACTGCAAACGGTTTCTTTTATCCCTTATGGCTAGTAAGTTGAAGTTTTTGCTCTATTTAGGTAACGCCATATAAATCGTTTCGACCATTACCATTCAAGTAACAGAAATGTATATGTATATGAATTAAAAAAGACATCAGTCTATTTCAGAAATTGTTGACTCTACTTTAAAATTATCCCCTCCACTTTTCTTTATTGGACAAGTTTAGCACGTGATGTCAAGTAATTTTAAGTAGTTCTATAGGTGTGACTTGTCAGCTGATACACCGTCAAGATTTGTTCTATTAAAAACAGTTGTTTTGTGTTAAATCTTTTCCATTACCTTTATTCCTCCCGTAACGATGGCTCTTCATTCCGCAGGGAAGGGTAAACTTATTGCAGTGATTGGAGATGAGGTGAAGAAGACAAACTTTATCTTATACTTCAAAATTATTTACGAGGATTTCATTTTAGGATACGTGCGTAGGATTTCTCCTGGGTGGAGTTGGCGAGATTAATAAGCACCGTCAACCCAATTTTATGGTTGTTGATAAAAGTATGTGTTTTTTTTCATAAGAATTCATTTACCTCTGATGTCATTGTGTATCAAATCTTTAAATGTCATCTGGACATTTGTATTTGAACATCCTCTGTTAGATAGAATGAACCAATCGTGGTTTAATAATTTGATATAATAAATAATACATATTACTTACAGATACACCAGTAATTGATATAGAAGACACATTTAAACGTTTTATTAAGCGAGATGATATTGATATTATCCAAATAATAACAATATATGCACAGTTTCAAACTACTTCTTTACATATATGTAATTAGATTTTTACTTTCTTAAAATGAAAAATTTTATTATCTACTCGAGGTTGCAGAAATGATACGCCATGTAATTGACAGTCATACACAACCAATACCATCGGTCTTAGAAATTCCCAGTAAAGATCATCCATATGATGCCAGTAAAGACTCTATTTTAAGACGTGCTAAGGTAAGATTATATTATTTATAACTGTAACAAATAACACACATATTCATCTATATTAATTTATATTTTATGCAGTTTTGTCTTGGGTAAATTTTATCTACTATTTTATAAAAAAAGTTGATTTGATAAATGAATATAAAAGTTCAGTCATCACTCTCATTTTATTTTAACCATAAAAATTAAATCAAATTACTTATATCTAGTAGTTTGTTTATTAGATTTCAAGTAGAATATTTTTATTAGAATAAAATATTTACCACGTAAAGTAGTTAATAATTAATTATAGCAGAATTATCATTGAATGTTAAAGTATGTATATTGCTCATAAGTTGATTAACCAATCTTTCTAATTTTACTTCACAGGGAATGTTTAATCCAGAAGATATACATTAATCTGTGTATATAAAATGTTAAGTCATATAAAAAGAAAACATAAAAATTTATGACTTGTATGGTATTTGTTAATCCTGTATGTAATGTTACTGTGTTATTATAGTCTACGTATAAAGAATAGACATGTGTCCAACATTCCAGTATTTATTCTACATTTCATTAGCTTACTAATTATTTAATTTCCTTATGAAATTTGTGTATAAATCGCAATCTGTATAGATACATGTTATTACATCAATTTTAAGGAACACACAATCATGCTGTAACATACACAAAATTTGGTTGCATAAATAAATACGTATGTTACAAATGTAATAAGTTACCATAATATATACATCTTCCTGCACAATAATATCATTATATTAAAAAATGCAACATACTACTCTAAATTTAGAACCTAACTGTGTAAATGAAACACATATTATTCGTATCACAGGAGATATATTGAATGTATTTATGTCATTCATGAAAATATTTATTACAAATTTTAAAACATCTTTATATAATAATTGTCCTTAGCTATTGTATATTTAATAGCGTCAACAAAATCGTATAAACCAAATTATATAATTTCTGCGATTAGGATTTATTATTTAATGGTTTTTCTGGTATAGTAATCTTAGTCGAGAGTAGAAAACATTAATACTTAGAACTTAGAAAAAACGCTTTTCACGCACAACACATGATTTCATTATGAAATAAATACACATGATCATTAGAATACCAACATAATCACACTAAAAAATAAAGTACAATAGGAAACGATAAATCACTTTTCTATGCTAAGAGAGCAATATTTTTTAGAGTATATATTACGAACTTTGTATATGAAGAACACAGTCATGTGGTAATTGTTAGTAACACGAAGGTTACTATTATGTATACACAGTTAGCATTGGAATAATAAAGCAGATCCAAGTTGTACAAAGTTTGACTTGTATTTAAGTCTTTAACACTGTAAGTCAAAACTCTCATTCCTCAGTAGCAGACATAAATAACTTTTGTACAATGTACGTGATTTTAGCTAAAAATAGAATATTTTATAAATTATTAAATTGGAAACAATGCGTAATTAAAACTAACTATTACATTAGTATATTAAATTTAGTCATGGAAAGGTATTACATACAATTAGTTTTTTGAAACCACACTGGTTTGCTTTTCCATTCGATACCAAAAAAGAAAGCTGGAATACCAGACAAAGTGATCAGAGTACCTACGCCAACTTCGTATGGCCTTTCATAACAAGGAACAATCACTAAAAACGCACATATAGCCACAAATGTGATAGGAATCCATAAAGGCATCTGTAAAGTACATGAGTTGAGACATATATTTCTGAGCTTATACCTACTATTTATTAAGTGGTGTACCTTAATTGGTCGTTTCATGTTAGGTTGCTTGTAACGAAGCCATAGAACACCCGCTACCGATAACATAATGAAAAATGACTCAACTATACTGCAGTACGTGATTAATACAAAAATATCACTTGTGCACAACATTATTAAAGATAAAATGCACTGAAAATAAAGGAGGACTTGTTTCAATTCAATGATATTCATTCAGAAATTTATACCATATAATCAGGTGTACAATATGTCTGGTTTAAGTGTATACACACTATAATTTCTCTAACTATTGAAAATGCGAAAAAATGTTTCATATGAAAGTTGTTTAATTTCATGGAGTAAACTTAATAGAATATTTGCATTTTTTTTTTAATTGTTATTTACAGAGATTTTAATAACAATGCAATGTTTTAAAATGGAATAATTGCATATTTAAAAGTTTTGTTTAAATAATAATTTTATAACACGTAGGGGTCTCAGTGGGACTTATTTAGAGGGTTAATACCGTGGCAATAGTACAAATATTTCGTTTCATTAAAAAAATTATATTGTTATTAAAATCTCTGTAAATAACAATTAAGAAATGCAAATACTTTATTAAGTTTACTCCATAAAATCAAACAACTTTCATATGAAACATTTTTTCATATTTTCAATAGTTAAAGAAATCGTAGCATGTATACAACTTAAGCTGGATGTATTGTATGTGCACTTTGTATACTTACTAGAAAGATTAAGGCAGGCGTAGGTGTAAGCCTTGAAACATTAATATGGCCTAACATTGAAGGAAGATGACCATTTCTAGCACCAACAAAACATAATCGTGACGATGTCATAATGTGAACACTCAATCCTCCAAATGCAGATACAGCTACCATTACGGGTATTATCCATGCCATTGCCCCAAGCAGCTGGTCTCCGAAAGTCTAACAAAAATATATTTATTAATTTTTTTTTATTATTTACATACGAAAGATAAAATAAATTCACTAACCACAGCTATTGCATGAGAAGCAATCATAGCAGTTGGTGTTAAAACTGATAAATATGCTACATTTGCCAATACATATATGAAAGTAACTAAAGGTAGTGATATGTAGATAGCTCGTGGTAAATTTCTGCGAAATTAAATATTTGTTGAATATTTAAAAATACACTGGTTAACACAGTATATTCATTTGCATTACATACACGTAAGGGTCTTTTAATTCTTCCGTCATAAAGTTCAAGTAATTCCATCCAGAATATGAAAATATACCGGAATAGAAGGCCACTGCAATTTTACCAGGTTTCGTAATAGTATTTTCAAAGGAATTTTCAAAGTTTTCAGTATGACCTATAAATGTATATCATTTTTTAAAACGATCTCCATAAATGATTAAACGTTCTAGGATACTACTCTCCACATTGTTATTAATGTTGTTTCCACTTGTGAAAATATTGCTTACCTACTAGTACCCAAATTAGTCCAGCAATAATTATAATTAGTAGTGCTCCAACTTTAGTAAACATGAATACATTTTGCATTTTAGATGTTTCTTTAACATCATAACAATTTGCAAATGTTAGTAAACCTGTTAAAGAAATTAAATTATGTAACAAGTTTACACATAACACTTGAGAAAAGTATTGCGGAATAAAATGTGTTACTGAATGAAACAAAACATTGTTCTTAACTGATTTGATGTAACATTTTACTTCTAATAAAGATATCTTACAAATAGTGACTGCTGCTATTAATCGTACACCATCATCTGGAATAGCACAATTTGGAAAGAATGGTTGTAAAACATATTGTGCAAAAGTTAATGCCATAATAGCATTGGTAGTTGGTCTGCAAATAAGTAATATCATAATGACTTTAATAGTAGCATTGAATTCTGCTTACTTGCAGCTATATACATTGTTTTAATTCTTTTTTGTTTTTTGAAAGAATTTAACTTACACAACAATTAAATTAGCAGCCCATAAGTACAAGAAAGAAGGTAATGAGCCAAAAGATTCATAGATATAAACATAATCACCACCACTACGGGGTATACAAGTGCCCAATTCAGCATAGCATAATGCCCCGATCATAGAAAGTAACCCACATAAAACCCAAATAATCAAAGATACTCCAATACTTCCTACTTCTGTAATTACACCTTTCGGAGAAATAAATATACCTAAACAAGCAAAATAATTTTATTGTTATAGCCATTTCTAGCGTATAGTACAAAGTTAGTAATTGCACATGAACATTAAGAGCGTAATATAGTTATTATGCCTTATATATTTCATTCTGTTAATCTAAATGCTAAAATTAAAGCTTCTAAAGAACGTTTACCTGAGCCACATATAATTCCTAAAATAATTGCTACACCTTCCAGAAGACCAAGTTGCTTTTTCATTTGTACTTTTCCAACATTGCGTGTTTGTTCTTGACTTTGTGAATCATTATCTGAATTGATTAATTGATCCTTTTTAGGCAATTCATCAAATATTTGGGTAACCATTTTATCTATACAAAATAAACAGTAAGCATATCATTTTAATTATAATGTATATTATACCTTATATGTATTAGATTATGAATAATTTTGAATGAAAATTTACATGTTCATAAAACATGTTTAATACTGTTGCACAAGGAAATAATACAGTGAAATGATTAGATGTATGTATATACATATATATGTATACATAATATATTATTTAGATTATTTAATTGATTATTACAACAAATTTTTGAAAGACTATATTCACATACCTTATGGAAGGCAAATTTTCAAGTGAAATTATAATACTGACTGTTCCTTTTCTTTTAGTCTAAGAGGTAGATTCATAAATTAACATAAATACAAAAATATTCACGTAAAAGTATTATCTATGAACGTCGATTGTTTGAATTCTTTCTTGAATGTAGGACATTATCTAAAAATAAAATTTACTTCTTAATGTTAACTAATAGTTTTTTCCGGCATGTGCAATAAACATAGACTTCACTGAAATGTACTTACACACAATTTCGTAAAAATGGAAACAAATTAAATAATTTACTTTCTTCTTCACCTACAAAATTCTATTCAAAAAACTTCTGCTTGAACAAAGAATAAATTTAGGTTATACATGTGAGAAACACACGTGCGTGAGACGATTTCAGAGCCAGTTTGCAATTGTAGACGAAGAAGTTTGAATTATTTAACTTTAGAATATTCAGAACTAAGTAGAGACATATAATAAATAGAAATTTATTTTTGTTAAAGAATTTATACAGGAAGGATGTTTCAAATAAATAAAAAGTTCTATTTCTATTTTTTTTCGAGTATAAGAAAGTAATAACGATTAATATTGCTATTATAAACACGCTAATATTATTATGTAAATTTACTTGAGATACATTATTTTTTCATTGTTAATACAACAATTTAACAGTGACAACGAACGCATGTATAATTTCAAATATCGGACTAACAGTATATTTTTATTCTATATTATTACATATAAGTGAGTAATAAGTATCAAAAACGTAATCGAAACACAGATTTTTATTACACCATAAACATCACATAAAAGATATTTCGTTACATTGACATTTGTAATAATTATGGATGTTGCGGGGAAATCAATATTATTGACATTATGGAACATTTTGAAAAAGTTTTAATGTTCCATTTATATCATTGTCCTGTGAAAATGTTCGTACTCCCAGCAGCATTCATGTTCCAATCAAAGAATTTACAGAATAAGGAAAAGGAATCTAAAGTAATTTTCAGTAGTTCCATACATCTTTATCTCGAATAATTTTCTAAAACATTCAAAGTACTAGACATTTTTACACTTTGAATCTCATATCGATTTCTAAAATAATCCTAGTTCGATGTAATATAGAACGTGGTTTTATGAGATAGATTCGAAGTTCGCAGCCATTAGCTCGATATTGTCTTCAGTTTACAGTACTTTACCGATGACAATACCGATTGCCCAGGCCTCACCACGAGGAGGTTGCTGCGAGTGGAGGCCCAAGGCAAGTAGATGGAATCACAAGTTCTACATCTACCCACCTTTCACAATAAACCTTATAAATTACTTAAATCTTAACTATATAATACTACCGATACTAAAATCCCTCGGCGGATGACTTCTTTCTTGAGCCTAAACCTATAAAAAACTAAGTTCCCTCGTCGGTTGTCTTCGTTCTTCAGCTTAGAACTAATATTATCTTAATATTCTAATTAATACGAATTAATGCTAGTAATACGAAATAACAAATTTAACGCAATGTAGTCGCTAATACTCAAACGAAAGAGATAGACGGAATGGAAAAAGTTCCATCGATCATTTCGTTTACGCACCTAATATACCAAGCCAAAAATTAATTCTACGATGAACCACGTTAAACTACAGTATGAACAAGTATCGCGATCAAAGTGTTGCCAGAACCTGGTTTAAGAAAATAGGAAAGACGGGCGCAACCTCGCAAACCCGAATCCATCTCTCACTTTCCAGGCCCTTTGGGCTGGTCACCTACGTACCAGACCCGAGCACAGGTCATGACCAAGTATGGTAGTGCAAGCGAGATCCCCTGTAAAACAGAGTCCTTTTACGGAGCAGACTCCCGTCTACTCCGTAGGCGGGTACGTTGTACCCAGGCGCGCACGAGCCTTTACTCCAAATCCTACTTACCAGGCAAAGACTAAACACGTCCGATATCTGGCTTCTCAATAGAAACCAGAGGGATCGGCAAACAGTCTTAGTGCACAGGCCCACTGCCCGTACCATAATAGGTACAGACCCACTGCCCATACCCCAAGTCTGTGTAGAGAAATCAACGAGCAAAATGAATTAATAATAACTTGGTATGCACAATGGCTGATCACAATTTAAGTCTATTAATAGATAGACTAAAATTAATAATAAACGATGTGATGATGAATATGAATATAACAATGAATATCGAATTATGATTTAAGTTTAACTTACAGTAACTTAACGCAGTGGTAGACGCACGCTTTGAAGATGTAGACGTTGATCGATGTCTTCTTTCGATGGAATAACTGTTTGGAAAAATATTTTTCATTATACAATACACATAGAATACATAATATGCACAGTAAATAAATCACAGTAAATAAGAAAATAAATATCGAAGCCAATGGTTCTCGAACATCTGTAACATACAAGGAATTAGTAACAAGAGAGGGGACACAACAATATGCACAGTATATAGATTAGTAACATGCACAGTAAATAAATAAATAATATGCACAGTAAATAAATCACATTAAATGAATCACAGTACATAAGAAGATAAATATCGAAGCCAATGGTTCTCGAACATCTGTAACATATAAGGGATTAGTAACAAGAGAGGGGACACAACAATATGCACAGTAAATAAATTGATGGTTGTCGAATGCCTGCAACAAACAATGGGTTAGTAACAAGAGAAAGGACGAGTATGAGACACGCGACCACCCTCCGCGACGGTTCACGAGAAAGTGAGGAAGCAAGCACAGTCCTGCACGGGATGGTACGACCTTGGTACACGGCGTACACGGCTAAGTCAATAAACTGGGTGACGCAACTCACTAGCGCGTTGGATCGACGGAGAGCACCGATACTCGGCACGCTCTACCGTACTCTCTCGCTCGCACACCTCCCTCCCATAGACCACCGAAATTCCTCGGCACCCGTCAACACCGACGGAGAGCACCGATACCGCGGCTCGCTCTACCGCTCTCGCTCGCACGCCGTGACGTCACCCGATTCCCGGAAGCTGCGAGATGGCTCTTACGGTAAGGCATTCAAAAAAATTTGGCTTACAAATTGTAAGCCACCGACCAAAAGGTAGATTCGATAGACTATTTATGAAGCTACATCTATTCTGAATTTATCTGTTACAAATATACAAATTTAAGGCAAGATATAAAAACGAATAAAACAAGAACATGTAAAAAGTAACATTAATAAAATGTCCATTAACGATGCATTTAGAATAAATTGTTTTGTAGTCGGATATTTTTATTCCCGTGAAATCATATAAATATATGCAATATGAATGGAATATATAACACTTCATTTGTGCCAATGATATTCAGAATTCATGCTTTATCGGTAACGTCGGGTATTGACACTAAAATGGTAAGGGGCTTCTGACGCCCTCGAGGCATGGGACAGAAAATTACATACATACATTGCATGTAGGTTTATTTTTATATCTCGTCTGTACTAATATTCCGCGCCAACTATTCTTCAGTAGTGTAGAGGGCTAAATTTCCAGGAATATTGCATTATGTGCGGTGAGGGCGCGGATGATTGTAACCAATATTCCTGTAAATTTAGCCCTCTAGAGCCCCAAAAACAACATGGAACTATAATAAACGAGCTTCTACTGTATTGTTAAAACCACATTATCTGAGGGACCTAAAGCGGTAATGTTACAAGTACACATAAATGTTCAGTGAACAAAAAAGATGGCGTGTTTATCAACCTCTGTGACAAGTGAATGAATGGATTTTCGTCGAACATAGTCGTGGAAGGTTATGTCCTGTATAATTACATAAATGTAAAACAAAATTTCTGATATTGCGATTACAGTAAGAAAGATACAAAGAATCGCGAAACGCGTAGTCTTAAATTTCTTTGCGGAAATTCGTAACTAGAAGTCAATAGGACAAAGATCATCATGTATAAAGAACGATAAAGCTATTGTCTTGACATCTGATCACCTGTTCCTAGAAAAAGTTGGGTTAATAAATAGGAAAAATAATGGGAAAATGCACAGCTCGTTCATTCTACGGGCTCGCCACCTTCGCTTTTCTTCTTTATTTTGCGAAAGTTTCAAGTACTTCACCGCCTCAGCAGACTATCATAGATGTTATGAAGAGTGACCCCAAATTACACAACGTTCCAATATCTTTATACAACAACAACATTACAAGTGTCTGCGCTAATCAAACATATCCAAAAGGAAATGACATAATGGATTATGAAGACAAGAATATATATTTGTGTCTCGCTTTTTATGACACATTGTATAAAGTCTTTGCTACTAGTCAAGTGAATAAGTCGCTTCAGGATAAGTTTAGTGATAAAGAGGCATTTTATTCATATATTGAGGAATTTTTCCCTACGAAGGAAGATGTTAATGGTACTGTTTTCTGTGACAAAATAAAAGGTCTTACATTTTCAAGTGAGAAATTAAAACCAATATTGTCTACCATAGATCATTTAAATAATTTGATTACATGCTATCGTTTATGTTTCAACATGAGAAAGAAATTTAATCCATTCTGTGGAATATTAGCTTGGAGTAAAAGTATTGATGATGATAACGCCAAGAAGATTGATATAGTCCATAAGACAAAAGATGCTGTAGAAAAAGAAAAGACACTTAATAAATCAAATTTGGTAACGAGCAGTACAGAGTTAAAAAGTTCATCAAAAGCAAAGCTGGTTCCTACAACCAAGTCAAATAATGTTCATAAAATTGGAACAACAGAGAATAATAACAGGGAGAATGAAAACGTTTTAGAACCTAAAGTACCTGATATTCAGAAACTTAAACCGGAAAATACACACATAGCAGCAGTACCTAATACATTAGACAAGCCACTGGGATCGTCTAGTGTTAAGATTAAATCTTCTACCATAAACAATTTAAATGCTGTGAGTGGTAATGAGAAGAATAATGTAAATGATGCTACTGACCCTAAATTGGATCAGCAAAATACGGGTATTAAACCAGATCATCCTAAGAAGTCACAGGAAGAACTTAAAAAACTTGATGAGAATATTGCCGATAATGATGTTCTTGAAAATGGGAAAGCTATAAATGGTGAAGTCAAAACAGATACAATATCAAAAAACACTCAAAGTCATGACAATTCTGCTAATCAGGAAGACTGGAGCCATTTGGAGGATGGTAATAAGTTACAATTATTTTGAATTCTTTCCTTTTACATATAATATAAACTCTATATACATAAATTGCTTTGTTTTTAGATCCAAATGATGGTCCTGAACCACCCACTGATACAGGTATTGTATTATGCAATATAACCAAATCTTTATTATATGAATTTCTGTTATTGTATATTCTATTATTTAAAAATTCTGGAAACTCTACTGATTAACATAAAAGTGTCACTGCACTTATTTCCATATAAAGCTGATGTTAAACCAAATATGTAATATTGGAAAAGGAAGCGAAATTGAAGGATGCTATTTGGAAGGTTATATGTACATATATTACAAGTATCTTAATTAAATCTTCTATTATTTAAAATACAGAGTGATTAGTGTTAAAGAAGTGAGTGCTCTATTGCTTAAAAATGTTTGAATCTAACATTTATGTCTTTCTATTAGTTTCGGTAATAGAGATTCCAGTGTTTTCTGAAACATGTTTACTTTAATCTTTGCCAACATCACATTTCTTTCTGTAACATTTTCTCACAATAGATGATCAAAACCAAAATATGCCAGAACCGTCAGAACAAAGGGATATCATACCGCCTTATCACAGCCTGAGATCTGACGAAGAATCCCACTTTTTTACATATTTTACTATAGTTTCCTTGATCTCCATAGCCGCATACATTGGTTACTACAATAAGCAAAAGGTAAGTGAACATTTTTTAAACGAGCAAGATTGTTGATATGCATCGCTGATATGCATTGCTGATAATTATGTATGTTGATATTTCAGATATTAGCTATTGTATTGGAAGGTCGAAGATCACGAAACAGCCGTAGTAGACGGCGTCCTAGTACAGCCAATTATCGTAAACTAGATTGTACATTAGAAGAAGCAGTTACGTCACAGTGTAATGCAAATGTTACCCATGTCATATATTAATACATGTAATCTATTTGATATTTCAAAATAATTGTATAATAGCACCCCATGTGCAACATATTTTGTATTCAAGTATATTTCCATCAGTATATGAGTTTATTTTTAACAAATTAATTATTTTTTTTTTGTATTCCAGTAATTGTTTACTATCTTAGAATCTATTATCGGTAAATAATATAATAATATGTGATTATATTGTATATTAGTACGATATGATGTTTTACTATTTTTCAATTTCTTATCAGATTTAATTATTTCAGAATGAATTTCTGATAGCAACAATTCCATTGTTTTAGTTAGTTTTTCATTGACGTATTACTTGGAAATTTATCAGTACACTGTCTATCATCTTGTCAAATGCCTTGTTGTATAGACATATTTCTTCTTTGCTAAAAGGTGGTGTTAAAGTTGATTTCAGCTAGTTAATAGTATCATATAATATTTATTTTTTCACGATATTATCACAAGAATAAAAATATAGCTAGAAAAACTTAAAAATTCATTGTTTCCTGTACTTAATTAGTACCACATTCTTCATATTTTATCAGTAAAAGTGAGGTTTTACTTTATGAATCACTATTCACGTGCATGTGTATTATGTTCATTTTTTTCGTCACTTCAAATCATGCACAAAAAAATCCTGTTTCTTAAATTCCCCAACGAAAAGAATGCGCGTGTACATAAACATAGCTTTAGAGTAAAGTAATGTTGATAAGCTTTACATTATCATTTTTACTAAATAGATACATAACAGCCTTGGGTAACATTCCTATAATGTATTATTACTGTTTCTTAAGTTTTTGTTGCAAAATGATTAAAAATTCGATTTCGGAGAACGTGTTTGTGGTATTGATAAAGTACATAAATGTGAAACAAGCTATGTAGTCTACTATTGCGGGCAGTTCCTTGGGTGAAGTGTACATTAATGTAGTAAGTAGTTACAGCTGTAATCTTGGTTTCTTTTTTTGTTGCATTTCAGACTGAAATTTCCGTATGACAACTGTTATTCAAAATTTAATTCATGTAACATTGACATCGATGTTAAGTGTAAGCAGATATCCATTTGTGTATTCTAGATTTAAGTGATAACTTCAGTGCACAATGAATCAGATATTCGTACGCGTGTGTATGTATTTATATTAAAATCCTGATTCAATTTAGTTATAACAGGTCTGTTCGAAATTGTACCGAATTAATTTATCAGATGAAAATGCCGTCCACTTGTACACGGTTATGCCATAAAAATGTTGAAAGTTCTGGCAAAAAATATTTAATAAATTTCATATAACAAAATGTCTGTGTTTCATTTCTATACACGACTGTTATGCACGATAAAACATTTTTCATTCCTTCTTCTTTTAATAAATTCATTATTTAATCGAAGTCAATGCATTATATTGAGACTTGAAATATGTATTCATGTAGGCTGTTTCAGAATTATGTGTATTAAGTAAATAATATAATTTACACAAAAGAATAGATATGTCCTCATAAATATTTTAAATATACCTGTAAATCAAAGTGATTCAGAGTAGGAGTGGTTTTTTGTGATCAGCTGAAAGTGACTCTATTTCTCTTCAATATAACGACTATAGAGTGATAATTGTAAAGTAATTCAAGCTAGAACATTATGGAAATATTTTAATAGATTAGTTTCAATTATATTTTCATACTAAATGTTGAAAAAGTAATATTTTTAATGGATTATTACCGATGTGTTTTTATTAAAATCTTATATGGTTTATAAATTCCGTTTGTACAGTGCACTTTCAAACTATAATTGTGTAACATCCTATATACAAATAAATAAGTTTGTAATGTGTAATTTCATTCGATCTTATTTAGCACAGTAACACGCATCTTTGGTTTGTTGTAATATCCAATTTAAATGCGGGCCCACTCTGGTGAAAATCGAAACTGCAGAAATGTTGCTGCATTTGTTTACGTCCGAAATTATGCCTGTTAAAAAAATATAAATCACCTTGTAAATAAAAAATTGTTTCACTTTAAAATAAATTAAATTTAGTATGTGATACTTTATAAATTTTCAAAAACTACTTCTGAAGTTGCGTAGTTATATAGGTACTGGCGAATGGACAATGTAAGAACAAATTCGTTATATAAAGAAAAAAATGCACAATTTCATCGGACAGTCATTTTACACGAAACATGATTATGAAGTAATATGTACGATGATATACATACCAACAAGATCATAAACGCCCGCATATGAACGATACTGCACAGAGGAACCTACGTCGTTCTGAAAAATATATTTGCATTTTATGTAAATCTAATATTATACGCAGAATGTCTATAAGTAAATAATACGTCAATGAAAATACGTGTCTTCTGAAAATTATGATTAGAAACTTCTAAATCTTTTAAGTGTTACTGATAATTTTCTAAAATGTTAAATTACAAATATATCAATAATAAATTAATATACCTCACACACGATAGAAGTTCCGCCTAAAACACCGGCACAGCCGGAGTCATTGTGAAAATTCATAGGATTTAGACCGGATTTGATGCATTCGTTGTAACCCAAAATCGGAAGTCCTAATTTTCGCGGTCGACAAGTCTGATTGCTGTCCCTTTCTTCCGTTTTGCTCACCGTCCATCCAACCAATGTACCGACTTGTCCGAGGTAAGTCGAACCTGATAGTTAAAAATGTAACTGAATAAACCGTGGCGTTTAAGAATTTCTTCAGATAACACATTAAATGTTCATATAGTAATTATCTCTACAATTGATTCACATGTTTTGAATTTTCCATCTTTAATATTCTGTCAGCCATTTTCAGGGAACATTCATGAACTTTAATGTTTCTCAAGCTATCTAGGGTACGAAACATTTAGTTTATAACTATGGTTAAATCAAGTTTAAAGGTTTAAACTAAAAATTAAACGAAAAATTCGTTGAAGATTTTTCTTTATAAATGTACGTCAAATAGCTGCAAACATAAAATTAAGGGTTATAATTTCTAGTTATACAGAAGAATTCTTGAAAATTTATGCATGTTATCGCATGATTAACAAATACTTCTTTTCATATGGAATTTAACTTCAAGTTAGTTGTGTTCTATATCACTTGCAAGCAATTGATAGAGACAGAACGTTCAAAACAGTAATTGTGTATTACGTTATCTGAACCGAATTGAATAATACCTGGATTCGGCAGACAGATTGGCGATATTCTTCTCTCGAATTTAATTGGTTGACTTAATTTTATCAACGCCAAATCGTGAGCGCGGGAACCCGGATTGTATTCCGGATATAGGAATACAGATTCCACACTGATCGTCGCCGATGATACGTCCAAACTGCATTTGTCGTATTCCCCAAGCGATACTTTTACTTCTGGCGCGGTTACACTATTAAAATATATACATATATTCATTAAACTAAAATCATAAGAAACATTCGATCATTTCCAAGTGTTCATCGTTAAGTAAGTTTTCTGCGGTAACAATATTCGTTCAACTTTAAAAAAAAAAAAACCCATCGTGCTCTTTTTTAATCCGTAAAAAAGTGTCAATAATATTCCGTTTAATAAATTCTATTTTTAAGGCTTGTATTCTGTTTGATTGAATCAGCGAATTTTTACATTTGAAGTAAAGTCAAACAAAGAATTTAGGAGCGAAAGAGCCTATGGTCGAGTGTGAAAATGATTCAGAAAGTTCTTTTTCATTTTCAACGTGATCATTCTCTGAACCAGAACGGAATACGAACCTAACGAGTTGACTAGCTGCGGTTAGAACGTAACGATCGTTGATCAATACACCGCTGAATGACAACTGTGATTTCACGTGAACGTTCGCCAACCACGGAAACTCGTGCGCCATTGTGTATTCCCCGCCGAGGAGTCGCGTCTCGCCGGATCGATTTGGACGTCCGCACACTACGAAATTAATGCATCGAAAAACAAAACTTGACAAAGCTGAAATCGTTTCAACACACACGAATAATCAAACAGAAACGTTTGCGACCATCGAATGATTGCTTACCGCAGTTGCCGCAAGCTTTGAACCTGCCGAGCAGAAAGTCCAAGACGCCTCGTGTTTCTCTTGTTCCATCATCCCGAATATTCTGGTTAAAACAAGGAATAACATGAAAGAAATGATACGTACAGTGAATTCTAAAAGAAAGTCTAGATTAAACGATATATTATATACTTTATCACTCAAATCTGTCTGTTTAACCCTTTAACGCTCAGACCCTTAAATTGTTATTTGAAAATTGTTAGAGTCACGTGCCTGGGTTTACAGTGCATTCGGTTTTTTTTTAAGGGATTGGGGTATGGCTGGAAATTATCAATCAAGGATATTTGAAATGTGTCTCAGCCGTGCGCAATCTTAAAGGCAATCGACGCGTCGTGGGTCTACGCGATGGCTTTAGGGGCTTTCAAGTTAACATTCGGTTTGACATTTATTTCAGTACTTGAAATAAATTTAATAACAAGGGAGGGCATAGAAGTGTCCCCCTCCAGTTTTGATGAAACTTTGTATGTCTGTTAAGCAGTCAAAAATAACGGATACGTATTTTTTTTTATCGGCTGAGACGCGACTTTAAGGGATGAAACCACCCATCGAAGTTTCGACCCGAAGTTATACTATCTTGAAAATCAGTGGAGATACATGAAAACTTCTAATGGACGTGGTTTGCGGTTTTTTTATGTAGAATAATATTGTGCTAAGAAATTGTCCAAACTATAATTTGTTTATAACAAAAAAATTTCGGAACGGAACTTCGAGGGGTGATTTCACCCCTTAAAGTCGCGTCTCAGCCGATAAAAAAAAATACGTATCCCTTACTTTTGACTGCTTAACAGACATACGAAGTTTCATCAGAATCGGAGGGAGACATTTCCGTGTCTTTCCTTGTAAGTGGTTGGAGACTTTTCTTCTACGTCACTTTTTCCCCTAGCGGAAGCCGAGTTTGCTCGCGAGGGTACGTTAGGGAAACCGCCCTGGATTGCCATTAGCCTTGTCATATTCCCACCCGAAGTCTTGGAATGTAGAATGTGTGGTTGGAGGGATCGTTCGGGGCCTGCTCGGTTTTGACTTTGTCAAAGATTGGGAAAAAGAAAGCATTGAAAAAGCAATTTAGAAAGTCAAATAGTGTGCGCGAGTTTGATTGAGCCGTTCTTCACCGTATAGAGAATTTGTTGTTTTGAATTGTTTTTGTTAAATAAACGTTGTTATTTAGTTATCAAATAAACGTTTACTTATTTGCCACATATTGAGCTCCACAAATTGTGTGGGAGTTTAACATAAATTATGAGACTATTAATTAAGTATTAAACAAACCGATTATATTTTTGCTTTCTTCGTTTTTTATTTATTTTTATAAGGCATACTTGAATGACTCAACTGAAAACGTGAAGATCAACGTTACATCGGTGAAACTATGGATCCTTGCTGATAAATGTTAAATATTAACTGATGACAGAATTTGACGCACTTTTAAAATGAGTATACCACCGGTACAACACTGAGTGTTAAAGGGTTAACAAGCAAATCTCTATCTTCTTTCTATAAGAAACTTTTTGCCGTATACCTTCAAATTAAACTAAGTTCAGTTACTGTCTAAAGTAGCCTATTGAATTGTAATATTCAGAATACCACCGAGTATTTCACTGTTTTCCCCCAAACTGAATATTTCAAGAAAGTCAAAAATGTATTCGTCAGTTTTCATTTGTTTTCAGTGGCGGAAAAAATTTAAATTATACCGTTCTCTTATTAAAAAGCAAGTCTATTGTTGTCTTCACGCAGAAACAGTTTCGTCTGGCTATCGCTGTATGTTTCGCGTGAAATTGATACAGAGGACAGCGATGAATGTCGATGCAACAAACGAAGAAAAGGGTGAGGCTTACCGTAGAGATGAGGTGGTCGCAGCGAACCGATCCAGATATCAGCAGAACGCAGCAAAGGAGATACTTAACGAAGTCCACCAGCTTCATGGCTTTTCTCTCGGCTGTTGAAACGGTACTGGTCTCGGTTAAACAACTGGTTTGTATAGCGGGACTGTTCTAGCCCGCATCCGACAGACCTCAAGGCTTCTTCTTGGCTGTTCAGCGATTCCCACTAACAAGTTCCGATCTTCGTCTCGAGGACGCCGAATCGAGAATGTTTTCGGCCAGGTTCCGTTTCTCTTTTATCTTTTTTTTTTCATTTGAATTTCAAGTAACAAGGAGGACCGGTTCAACGGTACTGTTAGGCGATTCTAGGTATGTATATCAATGGATATGTTACCTGTATTGGGTTAGTAGGAGACGTTCGTGACGTCTTTACCTGTTGACCAGGGTAGCTTCTGTTAGACCATGTACATTTTTAATTTTTTAATTTCATGCATCAACGTGTAACAACGTTTACTTTTATTCCAACATTTGTATGAATTAGATCGTATCCATGTTTATCCGAGAAGAAATCGCGTCAGACCACTTTTATCAACTTTGAATTGGGCCTACTTAGACGGTCATGATCGAAGAACCACTCGGTTAACAGGTTAAGGATTTGACTGTGGCCTACAGTTTCTAATTTGCATTTTACTTTTATTTTTCACTTCTCTTCGCAACTTGTCCCCGTTTTTCGAACAATTCAGTAAAACGGTTGGAAAGCTGTAAATAGTCTAACGTAGTGTATGTTATAAAAGTTTTTATTGTCTATTTATCTAAAGAAATATTTCGATCTTCAGAGCATACAATATCTTACTTCATGTTGAGCAAATTACATAATTTAACGCGTGTGCCTGGTGTTTCGTAGGTGTTCGTAGTAAGCTAATAATATTGTTTCATCTACCGGAAGAATTAAGTAATATCAACAATAAGGTACACGAATAAATTGAGTATTTTCGAAGTATGTCGCTAGTCGTATTAGCTAGAAATAAGTAACGAGGTTTCGATATTTGCGAACAAGTTTCAATTACAATGAATCACAACCAAATATTAGTCGAAAGTGTCATTTAACGATTTTAACAAAAACTCGTAAAAATGAGACAGTCTCGATTTAATATAGAAACTTTCGGAAATTATAAAGGTCTCGAAAAATGTAGAATTCACTCGGAATCGAAACATGAGCCTTTGAATAATATTCGAAATGACACAGATATTACTATTGAATCGTTTGTCATAAGAATGAGTTTTTAAATAATTTTCCTCCGATGTTGGTGACTGACGTCTTCAATGTTTCAACAGAATTGCAATGCCTGTTCTACATACATCTGTAGACTTCAATTTTGTTCACAGAAACATCCCTCTCGTGAATTGTACACGATCCAGTCTATATACCGCGTGACTCTCGTGTAAACCCCAGGATATCCTGGCCGAGCACATCCATTACCCCAGGACACTACACCTATAAGCTCGTATTTCTTGTCCTCGCGTTCAGCTATTAGAGGTCCTCCGCTGTCTCCCTGAAATTCAGGAGAGACATTGAAACACAAGAACTTTTCTTCTTCAGCTTTTTGCAAGTGGAATCGTCAACATAACATTGTTCAACATTCGAACAATCACAAATGAGACCTGTACCTCACCTTACATCAGCATTTTTCATGAAACATTTTATATATTAACTAAACTAAATTATCAGTTTGTCGCTAAATACACAACAAATTCAATATAAATAAGAAATCAAAAGACTCTTCTTTTTATATTATCTATCATTTTTTTTTATTCTCACATACTTATTGCAAATCGGGGGTGGTCAGGTGGGTGGTGTAACCAGGCAGGCAGTGATTTTACGTGAAAACATAAGTCGGAAATAGATCAAAATTCTTTTATTTGAGATTTTATTTCTAAGAAAATTGACTTTGAAAATCTACTACATACTTTTCCAAATCAAATTCTCTCTTTTGCAATTGACTCATTTGCACTCCAAATTCAACCTCTTTACAATTGAAATGCACCCTTTTGCAAACTGAATTCACCTTTTTGCATATCAAATTCAACATTTTGTAAATCAAATTCCCCCTTTCGTAGATGAAATTCACCAATTTACAAATCAATGTCTATTTCACCTTATATTTGGATTTGATTACAATTATTGCTTAAGTGACCGCGATTACCTTATTTTACCCCACCCTTAAAAAGGGGATATATGTAAATATGTCCGAAATGGAGCCATTCGAGGGTTAACCAAAGAAGAAAAATGAAACAAGGTTACTTGACAGGAATCCTTCTTTCCCTCTGGATACCCTGCGCACATCATGTTATCGGAGATCATACGGGGGCTGTAGCTGGTGTTGCGGCAATCCTGAAGGCTCATAACCGGTACCTCGACTTCCTGCAAGAGGCACGAAGGCTTCCCGTCCTCGTGCAAGGTACCCCAGCCCGAAGCGATTGCCCTGGTGCCGATGTACAGGTTATCTGCAATTTAACGAGGCCCGTATATACGTGTAAATGACCGGGGAACGGGCTACAAACGAAAACGGAAAAATACAAATTGTTTGTCGCGCGCTCACGCAGTCGGCAAGTCAACAGTGGGTCGACACAATACTAATATCGGACATTGGAATGAAAATATAAGTTTATACACAATTCGACTACATTGACAAGGAACTATTATCATTGTACAATTATATTCCACAGTATTTTTCCATTTTGTGGCACTGCTTATGCCATGGCACTCAATAATAAATATCTCGGTAAAATTCCTGGTCGTTTATATACGGATTTACATTTTTTTTTTCATTTTATTCGTAAAGGATATTCCTTTAAACATAATTTTTTGCAAAAATAACTTCACGTTATAAGACAGAAATATTTTTAATATTTAAAATAGAAATATTTTTAATACTTTTGTTTTGCAAATTTGACACCAGGTTCAGAGATTTATTCATTTCGTCCCATTGAGGGTTGGTTTGATCCACTTTTGCACCGGGAACGCATCGCGTTAACATGTGACAGCCGAATTACGCAGTTTTCCTAGCGATTCCCGGTTATCGAGTCTCCGATTCGAGCGTAGAGCAAACCGTAGTCCCCGATTTATGTGAAAAATGAAATAAAAAAAACAATCTTCCGTTATCGCGCGGTTGCGACTCGGCGAAGGTACCCGTATGCCGACTAATTTATGTGTCCGGCGATGGTGTAATCGATCGGGGTAATGGATCACACGGGTCAATTCACGACGGATTTGTTTTGATTGTTTGGAGGGACGCGTGGTACGCGGGCTTCTCTACGTTGTATGTTTTAACGATCAAGGTGATGCCCGTCAAAACAGCTCCGTTTAGAAACGATATACTGTTGGGAGATTTGAAAATATTATTGGAGTACCGACGTTCAACATGCCAGTGAAAGCACTAACTTTCTCATTTTTATTATAATTCTTCCAAAATTGGATATTGTAGTTTGTAGATGATTAGTTTAAGTATGATTAGAAGTAATAAATAAATTTGTTTCTCACTCAGCTTTCGTTTTGTTTGTTTTTTTTTTGCTTAGGCGTTCGTAGTTACCCCACTCTCCACTAAAAAAGCACTTTTACTTGCTTTTAAGTATGCATATGTGCAGGGCCGGCTCTAGGGTAGTTGGCGCCCTGCTGCGATGTTCTTTTATAGCGCCCCCCCTATATTATTTTAAAGACAATAGTAGCTAATTTTCGGGAAATAAAAATAATAAAAATATACATATTAAATTTGGTTGACATTTAAAAATTTTTAAAACAGCATACATTTTATTTAAAATAATAATCTTGGAAGGGGGCTTATTACCGGGGCGCCTTGATGTTGTGTATCACTTGCATCGTTCCTTGGGCCGGCCCTGCATATGTGACCATTGAGGTTCGAGAAGTTATCCAGTTAACGGATTACCAATTTCCGAACAGTGCTAAACTTATTCGACAAGTCTGGAATCCATCGCTGAGCACCAATGTTCATGGACTCTGTGATTTGTCCATTAACGAAGGGAACCTATGAAGTGTATCCTGAGCTTTTCGATCAATATTAATTAATTTCACGAAAACGAGGAAGAGCTGTTCTGTAATTACTTTCAGAAATTTTTCCAGATGACCTGCCCAACTCTTCGTAAAAAAGTTGATCAAAAAAACTCGGGATACACTTTCTCGATTCCCCTTGTGAGATGGGAAATATAATAAACGTTTTACCTTTGACCGATGGCAGACATATGGGTCTGATGGTGTCGCTTAAGGGCACCCTCTCGTTAAGTCGAAGCAAAGCGATATCGTTGTCGAAATTGAGGAAGCTGAAGTCGCCCATCAATACTCGGACCACGTATCTGGTTTCGGGCCCCTTCTCGATGCACCTATCGTGCTCACCGAATGTGACCTTGATCATGAACCACATGAACCTGAAAGCAGGACTAGAAAAGCTGACCATGCTCGCCTCGAGAACAGGATTGTGATTAGCAATTTAAAATGGGATTTTAAAGAAGATGCGTTGTTGGCGCGGTTCGGTTTTATTGTCGAGCGTCACGTTTAACACTGGAACTATCGGAGCAGCCAAAACGACTGGTACATTTTTATAACGACGGTTGAAACGTTACAACAATGAAATGAATATGAATGAAGATGAAATATGAAAATGAAGGAATTAGTTAATTTAGAAGGTTTATCAGATATTATCAGTTTAAAAAAAATTTTATTATTCCCATTTAGTAAATGTTTGTTCCACTATATAAACTTATTTTATAAAAATAAAGTACCATTATATGTGTTTAAATTATATTAAAAATGGAAAGTTGATATATCGGGTTAAGGTATTTTACGAAAAACTCACAAAGTCAATATATCGGCTCTAAGGTAAAAGGGTTAAATGAACGATTTTTTGTTAGGATTAACTTACCCTTTGACACAATGGGCCGCAGTCAGGACATACCGATCGTTTATTAAAGCACCGCCACAGTAGAATTTGTTGAGGTAGGAGAGCCTCGCCATCCATGGAAATTCATTCACACGTGTCGTTTGACCGCCAACTATGCGGCTCTCCTCGTTCCGCAATCCACAGCCTAATTATTCGAATAATTCAATTCTATCAATAGTTCGATTTTATTAATCAGAAAAGTACTGTTGAGGAAATGTAATCTGCCCTTCTTAGTTGAAATGCCTTATTTAACAAATTATCGTTCTTTATGATTGTTCAAAACATTTGGACCTCGATGTGTTTTGCATTCTTGTAATTAGAGTTAGAATATTCGATGTGCTTTTTAGAGCTTTTGAAAGTGTCGAATTTATTCATTGTAACTGTTTTTCAGATGATTTTAGTAGCTTATAACGTTGTTCGAAAATTGAAAATGTTAATTAGGACAATGGAGCTAAGAAGGACAGTATTAGTAATAAGAGAAACATTATTATTGTAATGTCGGAACTTTAATACTCATATGAAATAGTACCGCGATGTTGTTGTACGGTCAGTTATTCATCCTTATGAATGAGTGTATTGTGTAACTGTAATGTGCACAAAATACAGTTATACTCACTGCAGTAACACGGTCCAGGCGCTTCCACGGCGGATGGTGGCTTATTACCAAAGATCCCGAAAAAGTTTTTCACCTTTTCAGCGAATGTGCCCGCCTATAAAAAGTCGTTTATTTAATTTCCCTTGACCTAAGATTCTCTACAATACGCACATTTCGATCTATCTTTACGAGCATCATTGTAGCACACGTGCATAATCGTTTAGATACGCAGCCATAATTATTCTGACATCAAAGTTAAATTATAACTGAACTGCGGAATTTTATGGAAATTCAGATATTTATAGATTGATATATCGAATTGAAATTAAGGTAGACATTCGTCTTCTTTATTAAAGGCGTTATTAGGCCCAAATTAAAATAAAATTTATGATAATCTATACTAAAATTTTTAATATTAAGTATTATCGTTTACAATATTCCTAAATACAAGTAAAACATAAGCGATAAATGTTGAAAAATGATGGATACAAGCAACAAAGAACCATACATCAAAACAAAAAATCCATTTTAATTAAAAACGAAATCCAATAACACACTAAGTGTATTAATTTTTTAAAGAACAAATGCTTGATCAGAAAATGAAGTCATCGCAGTTCAAGAAGCCACCAAAGAGCCTGTATTTCATTTCATCAAATTATGTGGTATTCTATTGTTCGTCTTACGAATAGAATAATCTAGTCTATAAATAGTCTCACCTGGCAGGGATCCAAGGCCATTAATAGAGCCACCGTTAATCCAAGGCACCACGAGAACCTCATTTTTTTTTTCCTGTAGATCAGGGCTAGATATCCCGGGATTTATCGGCGTGAACTTTCACGCGTCGCGTACCAAACGGCAGATTTTTATTCGATAAATAGGATTCGCCGCGCCGGGGCACTGTCAGGGACGAGTTACGGACATGTCCCTGGGTGGAAGTTACTATCGCCAGTGTCCCAAGGCGACTGAGGGCCACTCAGGTCGAAGAGGTGATTGCTATTCCAGAAGAGAAGGAGGGCACCAGCCGACTGGTCGGCGACTGGACAGTACCTGACCAGTTCACGTTCACGTTCAGGGTCGTATTACGGATGACTCTGTTCTTGACCGTCATCAGGGTCACGGTGGCATCTTGAACGATGTCCCTCCATCGCGACTATTTTGGTTTCTTTTTTCGTTGCCCCCATGGGACGTCATTCTGCTGGCGTTTGATATACAGGGTGTCTTGTTTACATTGAACATTTAAATTATTTGAACATTTAGTTAATTGAGGTAAGCTATATTATTCTTGTTAATTGTTTTATTATTTTTACATTGTTCCAATTTAAACTCGTTGCTTTTATCGAAGGTCATTTTAAGGTCATGATGCTATAGGTCGTGGAACTCGTTTTGATGTCGACTGCAAGGTCGCAATATAAAAAGCAGATGATAATGATGACTTTGAAATGACATTCAAAATGGCCTTGGAGGAAGTGTTTTTTTTTTATTATCGTCAGATGCTCGTCTTGAAATCATATGGACTGTTATTGTTAGTAATTTTTTTCTTACTTTCTGTAGCATCGACCCTGTATAATTCGATGTTGGTTAAGTTTGTTAGTAATTTTTAAAAAATGTTATGTTTGTAATTTAAGTTCGGTAATTGTTCGGGTGAAAGTATTCGGGGAAGACATTTTGGATGCATCGATGCCGTCCAACCCACTTCGACGCGCCCAAAAATCATTCTCCGGTATACATTATGCAGATTCCACGGGCGAAGTTTATGACCACCTATAACAAGTATCTTATTATATGCAGAGTTCTTGTTATACGTATATATACCTGGTGCGTCATTTGGTCCCGTTTGACCGCGAGCGTCTCACGTTAATGAGGCTCCATCCGTTCAAGATAGAAAGAGACGTTTCGTACGATACATCGATTAAGGTCTGGTTTTTCCACTTTTGGCGAAATTGCGATGCGTTTAATCGTCTTTTCGCAAGTCTATGATTCGTGAAGCAAAAGTTGTTTTCGTAATTCCATCGCGTCGTCGCGTTGTTGTCGGGAAAATTCCTCTTTTATATGAGAATTCAATCATTAACAAAATAGACGTATACGTGTATTTAATACTATTCTAAAAATTTTTAGATGTATCGACGAATAATAGCTAACAACAATAATTGAATTAATTTCAATGTATCTACCTATTGTTATGTTTGATTATAATTTGTGAAAGTTATTGGGGAATAATGATAAATATTATCATGACAACAAATTTTTATTATACATTTTATTGTGACACCTTGGAAGATAATAGACATGTATAATTATGATTTAATTGTGTCTAGAAATAAATGATACGAAAATGTAATGGAAAAGATTAAATAGGGATGGTCAAAGTAAATCGATATCCGTAGTGTTAAGAGTAATTACATAAACAGAAACAACAAAAAATATTTTTAGCATGACAAAAACAGTACACCATATTTATGTAAATAAGGAAACAACATTATTTTTTTCAAGATGAAAACGATAGAACACTCTAGTACACAGAGAATTATTGAATTTCCATAAGTTTTCAGTTCGTTGGCTGGTGATTTCAACGCGTGGTTGACAGCATACACATGAGTAATCTTTAATACATGAGTTTTTCTTCCACACATTCTCAACTTTCGACACATTTTCATATCATTTGTGTAACAAAATAAATTATATATTTGGATTTTAAATGAAATATGATCGAAATTAGTAATACTTACTGTCGACAGTCGGAATGAATAGTAAATAAGGACGACAAGCAAGTGAAATGAGTTTAAATATATTTTATAAATTCAAAATTATGTATACATACATCATTGAGCATTAGTTTAAAACACACACGATGCATCGGCGCACACATTGCCGTTCTGCTTCCAGCAGAATACAAATTTGCTTCATTAACTTAATCCCGGTTCGACACGAAACCGTTACACACTGGCAATTATGCGAACAACGTTCGGCCGCCATTCACGCAACAATAGGTGTGTCACGAGCACATGGAATTATATGATGTCCTCGAAAAGTATCAAAATTTCTGCTCACATATAAAACAATTGATACGCAAATGAAGTATAATTATTGATAAAAATGTCTAATAAATTTTTATTCCATGCCTCCGAAAACATTTTGGTGCATGCACAGATAAATATGCACGCAACATACAGCAAGGAACTGAAGTTCTTAAGTTAAGTATTGTAAAATTCATTAATATCATTACTATAGTATTATAATTTATAAAATTATGTACAAATATTAAATGATCTGTTCGATGCAATAAATTATTTATAACACTCGTGTTAATTTACATTTCTCCGTCTTAAATCGCCAATTAATGATTCATAATCTGCAGATAAGTCGTATTTAAATATAATTATTTAACTTAAATAGCAGACGAAGATATTATTGTTACAGAGTATTGTTCACGATCTGTTTGTTTTTCAGTACTTTTTTTTCATACAGGCATTGCAAATAAATACATTTTCTAAGGCGGTACGATACGTTCGTTTCCTCTAATTTCCACATATACAGCCTTCTTTCATGTTAGCATTGATCCACTTTAAGTATTTGGTCACCCTGGTATATACACCGGGGTATCCCGGTCTTCCACATCCAACGCCCCAAGAAACTATTCCTGCATTCAGAGGACACAGAAAAATTAGAAAGTTATGCTCTATATTAGATCATTCTGGAAATTCCAGCTTCTATAAACCGGAATCGACTACCTCGAGGCCTTTTTACTTGGCCAATAAACTTTAAAAACACCTAAAAATCGACATCTACACTGTTAATTCTAGTGTTAAATATAATGTATACATTAACTACATATACATTATATATTTAACTCTAGAACAAATAGCATTCAATGTATACTAAATTAAATTCCGTAAATATGTTTAATATACAATACAACATAATGTAGTATAACATAAAATGTATAACCAAGTAACAGTAAACCTAAATTCTGACAAAAGCACCATTATGATTTCAGTAATTGTAAAACAAAAAATGAAAAATCCGTTATTTTGTCGAGTTTTGCTGGTTCTAATGTTAAATAGAATCTTAGAAAGAAACATTGAATGTCTTGTTAATACTTATTATTTTTAAATTGATATTTAACTTACACAAATCTACGGAGACTAATTACTAGCAACAAGACGGTACGAGTGTCTTACCAACGATTTCAATTCTGTCGCCTTCCTGTACAAGAAGAGGACCACCGCTGTCGCCTTGACACGAATCCTGACTACCGCGACCGGCGCAAATCATGTTATCTGTAATTCGATTGGCACGATATTTCATCTTACGGCATTGCAATAAACTTAATATCGGTACTTGCACTTCCTGTACTATCCCCGCTAACATTCCTCCTTCCGACGTCCGACCCCAGCCGACCACGGTTCCTTCCTTTCCGGCGGGATCCGTGCCTGTAACCATCATCATAAATTTGTTAAAAAAAAATCGATACTTCGTTCTTATGAAAAGTGTATGTCTGTAAACGACATGTACGCAATGACGCCATTTTGATATATCATAGAGAAGGGTTAATTTTACATGTAGGTACACGATCTGTTTAAACAGTATACGAAGTAAAATTAAAATGGCATTTAAAACAGTTTGACTTCCACACTTGCAAATAGATATTGCACTGTGTTAGAAGTTCTCAAGTTTATTCAGATATTTCAAACTTCAGCTCATGAACGCACGTAGTGCTGTTAATACTTTTACTATGTATTAAAGTTAACAGGCTACCTATGCAGTTTAACATAAAAGTAATTAATCTCGTGAGACCACTGCTTCGGAACGTACGTCGAAAGTTTTTAATCATTTCGCGTAACAGAGGCTCTTTAAGAGTTAGGAGAAGCCCCGTAGAAACTGGGGCTGTCTTAATGAATCCGAAAGTCTGAAACTTCTTACAAGTTTCGGAACATTAAAATCTTCTAAGTGAAAAAAAATGAAAACTAATGAACTCTTTGATCGTATAGAAGTAAATTTTTCTTTCGTAAAGAAGGTAGTTCTGGGAAATTATTTGTAAAAAAAATTCTTGCCAATATTTTCATCGTTATTTCTCACCTGTCTGGGGCAAGCACACCGGTCTGACGGTTTTTGTGAATTTCACCGATTTTCGGAGCTTCAGCAGAGCGACATCATGGTTATACGAATTCATGTCGAAGTTCCTGTGACGAATCACGGCGCTCACCGCCCTCATTATCGATTGTCCATCCGTGTTCACGTACTGATCGTAGTCGCCGAGAACCACGCGGATCTTGGAACGTTTCAGTCTAGAAAGAACGTGAAATTTTCTACAGAAACAATTTTCTAAACGTAATTGAGAGTGTATCTTGAACCTGATTTACTATCGATTTCCTAAACAAGGAATGAAACGTTTTTTTTTCATACGATTCTCATTAAATTAACACGACGATAAAGACACCATTGAAAATAATTTAACTGAGTAATGATTCGCACCTCAATAGTTATATAAATATAATTAAAGACGTATAAAAATGATCAAATGTGAGTCAGATGTTATTTGTTTTGATATAAGTACGTATTTCGATATGATTAAATAAGAATAGAAAAGTGAAGAATTATTGGAAGGCATAGTGAAGTGTAAATGATGAGTTGGAGCAGTTATTGCAGAGTGACACGATTTCTGCACTTCATTAACTGCATTTCGAGCCGAGCCTCCAGTGTGGAACCCTCCAGCAGTGGGGATGAAGCAGAAGTATTTAACGTAGAGATTCTTCCGAGCAGTTATCGAGAATTTACTCTATTGTGTTTTGTACAGTTATAATTCCCACAAATACATAAAGTGTAAGTATTTTCATTTCCGGTACACAAATAACGAAAGGGGACGTTGGGAATGGAGAGTAATACAGCGAAATCTTCATGCACGTGAAAGTGTAAAATGAATTGAAATGAACAAAACTACAGAAAATTATATTTTCTACACTAATATGTTCCACAAATGCAGGAAAGTCGCTTCAAGTGTGTTTTCGTTTTCAGTACAAAAATAACGAAAAGGTACCATAAATGAAAGGGGACGTTGGAAAGCGACAGTAATAACGCGAACCGTTCCTTGAGTCGTAGCGATGTCTTCATGCACGTGGACGTAGAGAATCAGAGACCTACCTACGTACACAGTGAGCCGCAGTAATAACGTAATCATTGTTAACAAGACTGGCTCCGCAATGAAAGCGACCCTCGTAGACCAGCCGCGCCACCCACGGATATTTGTTCGGGGCTGTGGGTCTTCCGCCGACGATTCGATTCTCTTGATTGGACACACCGCATTCTGGAAGGCGCATTCGTCATTCATTATTACTTATTACGTGTCATTATCGGACGGCAGACGAGGTCGGTAGCATTCGGTGATAACACTTTCTAAGGATAGGACTGTTACATCCGCGGCTGCAATGTGAATCGCATGTGCGGGACCGACCGTTATTACATCTAATAGTGACCAAGTGCAAATTCTGTCGCGTGATGTAACGAGCTTGCAAAGGAACGAGTGGGGAAAGTGAATTTTTCAATTGCACTTTCGCCACGCTGGGAATGGAAACCAGTTCCATTCGATTTTTTTTCTCTGTTTTTTTTTTTTTTTTCGAAGCGACAACTCCCGAGGCACTTTTATCGAATAGTTGTCCGCGGTTAGGAATGGAAGAAGTTGCGCACGAGAACACTTTCTTTTACGTGAAATTCAGTTCGGTGTTATGTAAAATAAATTCGATATTTTGTAATATGCGTTACTGGTGGACGATTAGTAATATTGTTTGTTTATTGTAGTAGAAAACTAGAGAAATGGTACATTTCATTAGACTACTTTGTAGGGTTTGTATTCTTTAAAATTATTGAGTACTATTTATTTGAGTACTATCTTCAGGTCACCGATTTAGTTGAAACACTAAATATTGGTAGATTTTGTTTTTCTGTTTACAGAAATACTCCATTATAGGGTCAAATATCAAAAAGTCTCGAATTTTTACCAAATTCTAACTTTGAATTATCATATAAACGTCACTAGTGAGTAAATTAATGATTTATGAAATGAAACATGGCGAAAGAATTCTAAGAATATCAACAGTGATGTCAAATTTTGACGGTAACGTAAAAGAAAGTTCGAAGAAATCGCAAAACTGAATTTCTAAACCTACTTAAACACTTATTTTACAAGAAAGCGTATAATATTCCAGGTCATAATCTTGTAAAGCTTAATCCGACTTGGTACCTTTTTATTCATTAAAGAAACGAATTTGAAAATGTTTATGAATAAAACAGGCTGAACAAAAAGGAGGATAATTATTTTTAAAAAAACAACGAAAATAATTAACGTGTTCCAGTCTTACCGCACGTACAGTTCCGCGATACTTCATCATCGCTGTCCCCACCGATGGATATGTCAAGACCGAATAATTCGTCGAACAGGAACTTGCCCTTTCGATTGTGTGTCGAATTCGCCGTCTGAAAGGAACAGGTCGCCGTCACACTTCGACACACGCTCACTTTCCATTGCAAATAAGTAAGAACGATCGTAGACAGCGGCCACGAATGGTGGGTCAAGGTCTTCGGTCGTTAAATTCCAATTTGCACGCACAAACTAGGAATTTTAATTACTACATAGAGAATAATAGCGACAGGTCAGAAAAAACACTTTATTTTATATCGCAACTAAGTATCTAGTATTTATTTATAGTAGTAGTAATTATTCTAAAACCCAAAGGAAATAATCAGAATTATTTTAAACAAGACTTCTTAGTAGCTTCCGTCGACATCATTCCGTTAACATTGTAAACGATTTCTACATACAAATGAACAATTCGTATTACCAACCACGTCACATATTCGAGACATTCAAGTTTTAGTCAAACACAAAATTATTCACGAAATCCACACGACTAACAATTAGCTGACACTCTTGGAATATTTGAAAAGTCCTACCTTCCAGTTTCTACCTCCAAGGTTTACCTTCCGGTGTAATTAAATACTCGAGAATACTATTCAGAGTCCCATAAAATCATCGAATAACAGATTTCAGTATTTTACTTACAGTGTAATTCCTAGTCGTGGTTGAATCATCCCTCAGGAACCTGACGTCCAAGCAAGTAATATGGGCGAAGAGTATCAGGAACGATCCAAGAGTCCAGATTTTTCGTACGGTCATTGTCCAATCGGTTGTCGTTCGGGTAAGGAAAGAAGAAGAAAGAAAAATATCGTTTCACGGCGAAATTTCACCTCTGTCGTCCACCGAACTTCCTAAACACTTGTCTCGTCCACGGGTTTCCCCATGATCGCGCATTCTACCGCGTGCCCGCACAACACCTACCCACTGTTCCACGATCCTCCTGGCCCCTGTAACTTCGACCAGAAGCTGCAGGAGATCCAGACGACCGTGATGCAGACGCTTTCACCGTGCCACCACGAAGACAGCCCGGACTGACCGACCAAGACCGAGCAGCCGTTCAAACCGCTCGCGAAGAAAGTTCTTTCTCTGTGTCCTGTTGCTCTTCCCATTCAGTACGCGACGCTGATCGCACGTGATCCTCTCGATTCGAAATTGGCAAGATGGTCGCGGCTGGGGATCCGTGTCAGGTCGCTACAACTGGTCATCGATCGCGGGAATCACATTTCAGAGCTGATACTCGGTCTCCCATCATCGGTGATATTTTTGTGAGTCTTTGAAAAATTGTTAGACCTTTTTTGAAATGGAATCGAAGACTCTTCGAGTGTCTTGACAGCAGAACTAACAAAAATGAACGTGTTTCTATCTCTGTCACGTTGGTAAAAGGGACATCTTGTTGATACAATAATTTTTTATGTAGTGCAATAAAGGTCGCGAAGAATTTCAGAGAATACACTGGTTTGATGTTTTACTGGTTTTTATAAAAGTTTACGAAGCAGTTATTTTGACTGGTTTAGCAGACCCGACTCTGCAGGTGTTTTAATGAAGGTATGGAGGTTTCTTTGTAGCTCCAATATTTCGTAATCAACAGTCCTTAGATGTCCTGATGAAATTACGAAGTTTCCTGTAGCCCCAAGTGATCCAGAGGGTCGACGAAATATGAATGGGACACCTTTTTCGATTAGAACAGTTTCTTAACCAGAATCGAACTTTCTTCAGGTGTCCTAGTGAAGTTATCAAGTTTCTTGTAGCTCCAAGTGGTCCAGAGGACCGAATTTAATTAGAACCGTATATTCTTCAGGTGTTCTAATGAAGTTATGAAGTTCCTTGTAGATCCAAATGTTCCTGAGGTTCGAAGATGTGTGAATGGAACACCTTTCTCAATCAGTACCAAACATTCTTCAGGTGTCCTAATCCAGTTGTGAAGTCTGTTGTAGCTCCAAGTGGTCCAAACAGTCGAAAAAATATGAACGGAATATTTTTCCCAAACAGAACAAAACACTCTTCAGGTGTCCTAGTGCAGTTATAAAGTTTTTTGTAGCTCCAAGTGGTCCAGAGAGTCGAAAAAATATGAACGGGATATTTTTCCCAAACAGAACAGATCACTCTTCAGCTGTCCTAATGCAACTATGAAGTTTCTTGTGGCTCCAAGTGAAGTCCTAAGGGTTGAAGAAATGTGACCAGAAGACTTGATGTTGTTGTCCACTGGGATGAGTACGCTGCGTGCACTCATCTACTATGTCCTTTCGAGGTGGTCTTGTCTCGGATCCAAAAGAGCCTCCCACCACGGAGGATCGCAGTTCTTTTATTCTTTCGATTCGACCGCCCCACTCTGCGGAATCGAAGACACGCTTTCGGCGCCCTTTCGAAAAATTTCTCTTTTAGTGGCCGGTCGAACGGACGTGAACGTGGACGCGGACGGCGTCGATGGATGAGATTCCCGTGGTCGATGGAGCTGCAAAAATATCATATTTTTGCCGATGACGAGATATTATTAAAAAAGTTCTTCGCACAGACGACACGGCTTGCAGAGTTTCACGATTGTCTCGCGCGTGATTTGCCCGTCATGTGTTCCTGCCCCCCTTCCCATATAAGAGTTCTGAGGGATTGCTGTTAGGATTTTCGTTTTGTTTGGCAATTTGTGGAAATTTGATGAAACTGGTTCACTTGGTTCTGACCTTAGACCCTTCTAAAGTAGGTCGTTGGTAACGTTTTCACCGTTGAGATCGTATTAACGCTTGTGTATATACCTTTCTGCTGGGTGTAATCTGTCAATGAAAATAAAAATATTTATATTACTGTACAGTAAAAAATTCTAAGCTGTTTGTCTTGGTTTCAATTACCTTTAAATTGATACGACTTTGTGGGTTCAGAAAATTAATGAAATGTCTAGAAATTCCTTTTACGTGGAAAGTAGAGCAAGGAAAATCGTTGTAATTTCTGTTTCGTAAAGTTATTGATCTTCTTTAATTAAACATCAATTTTATCTATTACCTTACCTTCAAATTTAAAGTGGTATTCTAGTAATATTTCTGTGTAATTATTTCTGTGAATTATGATTCATTATATTAATTTTCATCGTAAACGTCACTGCAGATTGGTAATAATAATTAAAGTGCTTCGTTATGGCACCGGGAATGCACTTTGTTATCGGTTTGTGGAGCTGCCATTCCTGTTTCGATCCGGGAAGAATCAGGAGTCGACGGTAACGGTCTGTAGGTTTCACTAACCCACATTCACCATTGAAAGCAAAACGTTTCTGACTAGTGACCCGGTTTCCGTTATTGCCCGTTCATCTCGATCGAGGACTCTGTCGTTTATCTAACATCTTTTCGTGATGTCCACGTCTTTTTTTTTTTTTTGTCAAGCCGGCTTTTCAACGACCGTTACTTTTTTAACCGGTTCGCTTCCGACCGGTCCTTTTTCGGGATTTTTCCGTTCGAAAAAGAGGGTCGACATATTTATTATGATTGAAGCTTAAATTTGAAATGTAAAGTATTTATAATATGATTGCAAAACTGTATCTTGTTGTCAGTTTGTATTTTATTTTGGATTTATTATGTATATGTAACTAAAATGGTAAAACTTAGAAATATTTCGTAAACGTACTCTTTATTTAACAACTGTTTATGTATATTGTTTCTTTATGTACACAGGACTAGAATATATCTTAGCTACGTGCTACGAATTAACAATTAAAATAAACAATGGTTCACCGTTTGAAGCTATTTATAAAAATATATTGTTGTTATATGGAGATATTTAAGAACGTGCGACGAAAGGAGCTATCGTACGTACTATATCTTAATACTGATTGACCTGGTTTGTAAAAAGTATCTTATACAATTAAAGGTACTAAGTTCGTAGTTCGAGAGGTGCTTGGTAACTCTTTTTGTTTTTTTAACGTAATGGTTATGTTCCGGCCTGGATGTACTGTTTGGATTCTAACAGTTTGAAATTAGTGTCGAGGCGGTGGACACACGCATTCGTCATCGAGATGGTCTTTCAGCCAACCGAAATAGTTAGTGACTTTTGTGTATACTCCTGGAAAGTTTGGCCTCGCGCAGCCACGACCCCATGAAATGAGACCTGTATAATAAATAATTTAAGCATATGTTTTCGAAACTACATTATTGTCTGTCATGATAAATATTTATTTATAGCCTTACCAACGATTTCGAGGTGTCCGTATGTTCCTTTCACATGAAGGGGTCCGCCGCTGTCACCCTTAAAACAAAATTACGTTTTAATGGATGTGCGTTGACTTTAGTATAATTAGATAATTACATCTTTAATATAATTATTATATGGTGTGCCCATATCATCTATTGTTCATGTTGTAAATATATTCATCAATGTGATCTGTCATCGTACGCCATTTTCACACATAAGGGTGGGAAAATATACTGAATTTAAACTACATTGCAATCTTATTAAAAAAATACTGGATTACTTATTGAAATATTCTAACTCTCCTATTAGTCTATGTTATTATGGTATTCTGCATATTATTATATAATAAGTGTGAATATGTGCTGTCTTGAAATATTCTACTAATAATTATAATGATCGGTGAAGATTTATCATCAAAGAATTTTAGGGTGAAAAATTACTCTGAAGAATTCATCACTCTTTATATTCCATATGTTTTAGTAACCAAACGTATAATCAAGTACTACTATTCCAGTGTTACACAAAAGACGATTTGTTGAAATTTAGTTGGAAGACAGGAAAGCTAGTTCACATTAACATTCTATGGATCCACTAAAAACAACGAATAAAGTAAACTCACTGAACAGGCATCACGTTCGCCTTCCAAGTAACCAGCGCAGAACATGTTCTCGGTGATCCGATTTTTCTTATACCCAGCCTGATCACACTCCTCCTGAGATAAAATTGGAAGGCTAACCTTTCGCAATTTCTCGCTCACAGGCTGATCCTCTCCGGTTCGACCCCAGCCAACCACTGTAGCCGTTGCTCCTGTGTAGTCGATAGCTTCTACAAAAAGTATAATATCCCCTAAGACCTTCGATTCTACCCTATCGATAATTAGTAAAACAAGAAACATGTCTTTAGATAATTTCATATACAGCAGTTGGTTTAATAACGGTTCAAATGAGATGCAGATATAAATTTTAAATGTGTCCGAAATTTCAACCTTACCTTCCATGTAAAAATCAATAAGAATACAGACAATTAATTGAATAATTTGTAGTATAAATTTGGGGTATTAAACGAGTTTAAATGCTGTCTTTTTATTCTGTCATTGGTTTGTACATACATACGTGGTTGAGTGGCGAACTAGTTAGGGATTTTTCTGGTCATACTCCTCAGCATTTCTTATTGTTAACTGCGGAATTCTATTCTTGTACCAGAATTTGACAGAATCGTTAAAACACACTTCTGTCGTGGAACTATGTTAAAAGTCGAGAATTTTTTAAACTCGTGAACACTGAATAAAAGCTTCCTTTCGTTTCTTTCATTTTCAATACATATTTACCCTGCTATCTATTTTGTTTAAATGATTCGTTCGAAATCGATCAATTTTTAATCGAAATTATTTATCGACGTTTCACTGTACCTTTTTTTCTCGCCTTTCTTAGGGTCACTGCATAGGTTTTTTTTTTAAATTAATACTAAATACTCACTGTCTTCGGGCAAACATCCGGTTCTCACGATACCATTCACATCCACCGGCCGGTCTATTTCGATGATGGCGATATCGTTGTTGAACGAGTACGTCTGAAAGTTTTCGTGCATGGTGAATGACTTGACACGGCGAACTATGGCGTTCTTACTGAAATTCGTGCGGTTGCTGTCGGCTAAAACCAGCTTGATGCTCTTCTTGTCGAATCTGGAATGAATGACGGCGTCTGTTAGAAAAACGATTCACGCTGTTCCGTATCGATAATTTACACAGAATCACATGATCCGAGAGAATTTCCCGGAGAAACTTACTCAGATCAGACCTGGCCTTAAAGAGAAGTTTCACTTTTATTATTTGCTGTACACCACTTTCAGATTAAACGAATTAACGAAAGTGAAAGAAGAAACCGGGATTAAACGCGTTGAGAGACGAATACGCGGATAATTCTTGATCCAGAATGAAAGTTAAAAGTACCATTCTAGAATAAAAGAATCAGAATTCAACTGAAGTGAATTTATAATTCCCTTGTTTCATTCGATGAACTGGTAAATGTCAGTAATATTAGATTACAGTGTGTAATTAATTTTAAAGTTAGAAGAATTGTACTGTGAGAACAGTCTTTTTAAATAATTAATTTAATTTCTGAAGTATTTAAGTGTGTTTTTTAAAGGAAATTATTGTATTATATTGAGCCATTCACAGGCTCAAGTGACCAACTCTATTTCATGAATCAAAATCACTTGATTGGGACTTAACTTTCTGTACTTTTTTATATTTTTGTGGAGTTAATCACTTTGGCAAATGAACATATGACGATGTAAACAAGTAAGGAGTGTTTTAGGTTTATTCCATTATAATTTCTTTGTTTCAACTTTAATGGTATCCTGTCACTACAAAGTTAATGTCACTTTTATATTATATCGTTCTAAAACTGAGTCAAGAAAAGTGTAATATGAATTTGTATGTTTTAACAAATTTAATATAATTCGTGTTTTGAACATTCCATTGTAATCGTAACCTATTTAATGTCGCAGAGATATGAAATTTTGTTTAGATATAATTTTTAAAAATTGTTTAATGTATTTTGAGATGTTTCTAATATCGATACTCACCCCTCCACGCAATGAGCCGCCGTAAGCACGTGTCTCCGTGTGATTAAGCTTCCGGCGCAGAAAAATATCCCATGTCTGCTCATGCTAACCATCCATGGATATTCGTATACAGTCGCCGTGTCTCCACCAACGATCCTTATTTTTCTTCCCACTCCGCACACTACGATCGAAAGACACAAATTGGTTGTACGGTTGGGTAAGAACGTAACTGCACACATTTCACGTGACAGAAAAAGTAGAAAGTTTAATGAAACATGGCAGATAAACAACATGTTGCGTAAGTGGAAGTCAAACAATAAATATAATAATTTGACGCAGAACGAAGCGAGAATGGCCGAACCGACGTGAATGAATGAAACCATTCTTATATTTACGATTAAACAAATAAGCTAACTTATAGAAATTTTTTCTATAAATTTGTGTTTCACTTGAAACCCTAAAATTGAAGATTTGAAAGACCAAGTGTCCCAGAGGCAAATAGCGAACTATATAATGTGATATGAAAAGTTAGGGAATTGAATTTTGTACAGAAATTTTGAAATGGATCTTCGAAAATGGAAAAAGTTTTCCAGAAAAATTTTATCTAAAAAGATAAATTTATTGGAAATATTATTAACCTTTCGATATCTTCCGATATTAAAGTTAAATATCCAATATTGCAATGACTTATTAGATAAGATTTTAATCACGAACTTGGTACTTAGGAACTAAAGTAAAAGTATTGCACTTCTCTTGAAGTCGCAAACTGAGCAAAGCGTTGACAAGGGCAGTTAGAAAGGCAACCAATTCATCCACGGAACAGAGTGGTAGTTTGAAAGGAACAGGGACACTCGTGTTGAGTGACATTCACGCAGGTGGCTGCTTTTATTGCAGCTCTCTTACCGCAGTCCCTGCAGACGTTCGGTCTCTTTGACGGACCAGAAGACGGTGAATTGAAATCAATAGAAGACGCATCGTCTGCTGGCCTCAGATCCTCGATCTCGGCATTGGTGATGTTGTAATGCACTTGGACGTTCGACGAGGGTCGATACTTTTGATCGTTTCGCGGTATCTGAAACAAACACAGAAAGGTAAGCATGGATCGTACATAATTTCGAATTTAAATACAATTAAACTTCAATCACTAATACATGTAACGATAGTATTATTGCCCAATAGCGAGGTCATTACTAGACTGCTTTTTTTATGCATTGACAGCCTACTGAATCCCATCAAATACAATAAAAGACAAAATTTTCTTCACATGCAACGAGTTTTATATTCTGTTCTGTACCCAATAAGATACTGAAGAGAAGAAAAAAATTACTAAAAAATTCATCTAGATTTACTTACGAATTACTTTATAAAATTTTATTTTGAATACGAATGCTTTATGAATAACTTTATAAAATTTTATTTTGAATAAAAATTTGCAGCCTAATACTTTCTTTTGCGAAGATAATAACTAATCGTTTATTATTTTATAAATTCTGAAACAAGAATTGTCCAAAATCTGACTACCGAAAGAAAAATTATTTCAGTAGTATAAAGCTATCCAATTTCTTCTGAAACGAAGCTTTACATAAAATCTCAAAACTATTTGAACGAAAGATCAGGTTAATATTATTATTAAGATTTTTCCCTTAAAAATGTTGAAAATAATAGAAACAACTAATCTTTTCACATTCTCGACTACCTCTCTACTTTAAATTACCATTCCCCGAATACAAACCATATTATTCCAGTGGGAGATCAAATTATAAAACCAACAGTACGAAAAATACATTCCTTTTTGTGTTTCTGTACAAATAAAGTCACAATATCGAGGTGTTTACACTAGACAATTTTCAATCAACCACCGACTGAAAATATACAAAAAGAATCAAACACAGCTTATATAATCATCAAAAACATAGTTAAAATCGTCGATTCACGCAGATGGTTAAAATAATTCAATCGTCCACAGTATTCTCCCAACATACCCCAAGAAATCCTGATCCTCCGACCTCGAAACTATCAATATCAAAACTATATTTCATAGGCTCGAACGTAACACCGTCCCCGTTGATGTTCACCGCGACGACTTTCGTCCAGAATAATTGCAACCGTCTCCCCACGAGGCGGCACGAGAGAAACAGGAGAGAGGCATAAAACTCACCACTCGCGGGATCGCGTGGCAGCAACAGCATATCCACATCAGTATCGCGAGTTTTTCTTGCATCCTGGCGCGATATTATTCAACGTGGTCTTCCGTTTAACTCCGTCGTTCACGGCTGTCCGTACGATCGGGGGAGCCAAAGTTGGCAAGGTGGGCAAATGCCAGGGTAATACAGGGGACAAACAGACGGTTACGGGACGCGTGTATCCGGTGGCGGGCACCCGTGCACGTGCCTGTGCCCGGGCGTGAAAACTCTAAAAGTGTCGTGATCGTTTTGCCGTTTTATAGTAAATTATAACTATCGAAGGAGCCACGGCGCGCCTGGGGCCAACACGGTGGGGATCGTCAACCTTGAGTGGTGCGTTTGCATTGGCAGATGTTGCATGTGACAGCGTTTAAATCAGTCGCGCGCGCGCGCGCCCGTGTCCGTGTACGTCGTCGTCTCACCTGTACGGATCACCAATCACCCGGACGCAATAAGCAAATCGGCCGATTTCAGTGCGCACGAACACAAATACACACACATAGCTGATGGAAGAGCGCGGTTAAGCATCAACCACCGTGAACGACCAATGTCAACCCAGCCCCCGCCACCACTTCTTCCTCCTCTGTCTTCGTCTTTTCTGATCCTTTTCTTGCTCCCGCTCGATCCCCCTCCTGGACCTTTTCAACAGCGTCCTTCCTTCTTTTCAGGGACCCGGCTGACTGGATCAATGTCACTTTCGGCTGACGAAAATGTCTTCGCCGCATGACCTGATCCCCTTCTGGCATTGCCACCTATGGAGGATGGAGAGATAGCGCCTCTGGGACACTGATTGGAGAGGTTTTGGGATATAGAGGATTCTTGTTTGATATGGTGTTATTGATTTTTTGGATTGATGGACAAGTGGGGATTTTGGAGGTGGTTCAGAGACGATTGGTGAACATTTAATTTTTGGTGGCTAGTAGCTCGATTTGTGGATGAATTGGGCAAGCGTTTAATTTGCGTGGAAGCACTTGGGATGGGGATTGGGAACGTAGAGTATACTTTTAGTAAAAGAAATATTCAGAATTATGCAATATTGCAGTTGGGTTGATGAACTGGTAAATGTCAGGAGTATTAGATTATAGTTTGTAATTAATGTTTAGAATTAGAAGAGTTGTACTCCGAGAACAGTACGTTTAAACAGCATGTATCATCTGGCTAAATGTTTCTGAAATATTTAAGTGTGTTTTTTTTTTAATTATTGTATTATATTGAGCTATCCAGAGGGCAAAATGAATCTTTCCAAATTTTTGTGCCAAAGCACTTGATTAGTGTTTAACTGTCTGTATTTTTTATACTTTTGTGGGGTTAATCACTTTGGAAAATGAACAGCTCATATGACGATGTAAAAAAGTAAGGAATGTTTTAGTTTTATTTGTGATTTTAAATGATTTAAGTTACTAAATCAGATAGAAATCATTATGCATTTTATGTTGGAAGACGCAGCGGTCTTGAAGGATCTAGGTATGTGTACGAGAGGAGACTTCCTGTTCACGCTCCTTTAATTTTTATGTGCAACTGATCACAAAATGCGGACAAATCTCCCTGAAAATTAAAAAATCTGCATGACAATATTAATTATACGAATCAATTTTTATGCTGAAATTAAAATTATAATTTAACCAAAAAATATGTGTTTGTTTTTGCACAAGTTTATGCATTTAGAAGTTTAAGCAGAGACATTCAATAGTATAGCAATATTTTTAGTTCATTAGAAATGAAGAGGATTAACTGGTGAGTTTAGGACTTAATACAATAAAATAATACATTTAACAGAAACGTAATAGAATCTGCAACACATATTCAACCGAATAATACATTTAAAAAAAATAAACTTTGCTTCCATAAACAGGTAAAAAACTTTGTTTCCATAAATAGGTAAAAAAATATGATCTTCCATAAAGATTCAGTAGTAACCTCTTAAAATCTTCGTTTCCACTTAACCCATTTTGCCCTGAATCACTTATAATTCCTCATAATCAAGCAATTAATCATGCCACATGGAATCATCAGATTCATCGTAAGAGTTATAAACGCTAAAAGTAAGTCAATGATTCCAAATGGAATCACGCGAGCGGAGAAGGGTTAATTGAAGTAAATAGAAAGACATGAACAAACAGCAGAAAACGTATCGAGTGATTTTATGTTTCTCGAGATTCCTCTAAATTATAGAAGATTAATGAAACCCTTTACGCTCTGTCGTACAAGTTTCAAACTTTCATTTTTCCCATCGACGTTTCACGTCTTACGAGCTCGACTCCAGAAACGAACTTCGGACACGAACCGATTCCCTTTATTAAATGAATTATGCATACTTTCGATCGTACTGTCAGACCGAGTCCTCGTGTTTCATAGAACTTCGAAGGTGAACCATCAGTTTCAGCCGCATCCATGAAACAATTTCGTTCGAGCCGTGGATGGCGAACGTTCCGCTATATGGGTGATTCCAAGAAGTTCGTGGCACCATGGCGATATTACGTGGGATTATTATTGCGGCTGGAGAATCGGGTCAATGTAATAAGCGGCGTGTCTTCAGATTCGTAAGACAAACATCCAACGAAACAACAGTGGAAACGATCACTGTTTCATTGCTTTTTACCGAGTCCTTCGGTGGTTTATTGTTTAGATAATCACGCATCGTTTCCTATCCACGCCTGGGCGGTGTCGAGGTAATTGGTTCATCGAACGACTCGCGTTATCTTACGTAAATTTAAGACGCTCAAATAAACTTGCTCGTTGAACGAAGTACGATTGTAATCGGTGATTTTTAATCCGTCACCTTGCTCGATGGCCTGGGTGAGGTTTGGAGAACGAATGGGGGAAACTTGTTTTACTAAGTTTTTCAGACGATAAATTTTTTACGTATCTTTCCGATGAACAGTGTTCTAACTGAACTCGGATAAAAAATAATCATAGGTTTTTGTGAATTTTAAAGTTGAATTGGGGAACTTATGTTATTTGGGAGTTGAGTAGCTGGAATATGAAGGGTTCTTACAAGAAAAAGTAAGTGGATTACGGTAAGTTCTTTATGAGTGTTCGAAGGCTCCTTGGCACTGCACATTAAATATCTCATAAACTAGTGGCTATATGTGGTTGAAATAAATATCATTGCTTCAGAATTCCGAGCTCTATCATTGTGCTGAACCTCATTAAAAAGTCAACGTTACACCTGGAGACCTGTCCTTGTCAGTGCCGAAGAGCCTTCAAACACTTATCGATGGTTTACTGTACTCTGTTGCGCTAATTTTGTACTTCTATGATTTAATTTTCGAAAATTAAATTGCGATTAAATGAGATTAAATTTGTGTCCTGTGAAAGTAGAACCTGACTTTTAGTCCAGCCTGTATAATAAAACATAATTATTCTTGCACGTAATTTTTAATGGCACGAATCACTGTTGTTACGTATATATTTGTCCATATGTTAATTTGCAAAAAAATTATGTTACTAGTTACGTTTTATTTATCATAAGTGTCTGTCGTTTCCGATAGCGAAATTTATTGTTCCGATAAGAAGATACTAATTTATTCTTATTGATCATTAATGTGTCTATACCACGTCTAGTGTTTTATGAAATAAAAACCGGATGATCGTGATTTAAAGAACAATCACACGGTTTGCATGATCAAACAAAATCAAGAAACGCGTACACTCCCGGTCATAAGTACTAGAACAGTAATCGAATACGTATTACGAAATTCCAAAAGTCTAAGAGACATATTGTTTAGGGGACATTAAAGCTCGTTGAACAACGCTTATGCTATTATAAACAAACGTGGCCTAAAATATGTATAATTTTTTACGAAATATCAGATTTTCTTCATACAGACCAGTTCTCTTAATACTTATGAGCGATAATGTACGTCCATCGGATGTTGCTGTAAAAGCG